ATTGTAGTTTCAGTGTCACTTTATAAATAGGGTAAAAATTCCTGTTGCTTAAGCATGAGATGGCATGACATGACATGTTAGAAAAAGCTATCACTCTTGACACAACTTATAAAAAAATCAAGTAGCATTTTCCAGAACGACGTTGAAGATAAATCGAAATACTGGCCAAGAGCGGTTTTGATCCACGCTGATAGCAAACTCAAGCGGTAGAAAAACTCTTGACTGGATTGTCTTTGTAGCATTCTGAAGTTTTCTCATCGTCACTTATTCAGACATGCAATATCCAGAAGCCATTTTTGATGATTTACTTACATGTAACAAATTAGGGTCGTTATAGATCAGTACATGGTGCCGAACTGACGCTCTCAGCTGCTTTCAGTGGTTGTCTAAAGTTATTAAAATAAGATTTATTGCCCTATGAAAATAACTTTACTTTAATAGCTTCTGCAGCTGTGTTACTGAAACAAGAAAGCAAAGTTTAGAAAACACGGCTAAGTTTTTTAGAGGATATTAGGTAAGTATTAACAGCATCCTTGCATGAAAGTCGAAGAAGAGTAAAATTATCAGGATATTTGAACAAATTTATGAGAGCGTTGTGAACTTTTATTTCTCAATATCGTGGTTACTGACAATTTTCTGTTTAATTTTTGCACAATGTCACCCGTGATATTAAAGGGTAATCAAATGGTACACTTGTGAAATTAGTAAATAGTTTCAGTTGCGTTTTGTCTAAATTAAGGCTCGGGAAATTATTAGTATTAACTGGTGCTTGTGTGCTTTATTCTATGTTATTTTTCAACTATAAGTCATAAGTTGCTGTTATAAGTTGTTTGGCAGGCGGTTGTTTTTCTAATAAGTCAATTAATAATATACACAAAAAAATACTCAATTCTTATTGGCTGAGAAAGGAGAGCAGTTCTCTTGTAACACAAGTGCAAATTACAAATGGTTTCTGATTGGCTGAAAAAACAAGAGAAATCAACGAGAATCAATCATATTAGACCTGTTTTGACAACAATATTCAGTAAGAAAATGACCGCGGTTTTCAGCAAAGGACGATTTGATTTTGCATGTAAAACAATAGAACATTGGGTTATTCCAGAAAAAATCCACACCCCCCCGACGGATGGGGTCCTTTTTTAACCCCCCCTCTCACCTGGATTTCCTGAAGCACAAGACCCCCCCTCCCAACTGGATTTCCAAGGTGGAAGACCCCCCCTCCCGCCTGGATTTCCGGGAAAAAATAAAAGGCTTAAATTTAATTTATTTTTAATGGAAAATACACGCAAACACGTCTAAATGTTTTTGTTTTAATTTCTAAAGCTTCAGCTTATATTAAACTAAGAATTCTATCGCGTGGAACTAAAAACGAAAGGAGCAAAAAACAAAAATGCGAACGACACCTGAACGAGTGTTTACATAATTTCTTAGCTTATAAAAATCACTCTTCGCTCTTCGCGCGCGGGCTCTGGGTACGAGTAGAAATGTGTCAGGCGTTTGACGCTCTTCGTGACAACAACGTTGCGACGAGTTCCTTCAGGCCCGTTCTTTAGTATCTTGTTCGCGTTTTCTGCTATAAAAGGACCTGTAAAGCAACTTAGATTATCATTTATGTCAGGTGAGAAATATATGAACAAAACATTTTGACTATTTTCAGGGTCTGAAAGCGCTTAAGTGTCATCGAACTAAACGTTTGATTTGTATCAACTATCGGTCGAAATGACCCCTGCAGAAGACTTTTTTAAGGTCAACCCCCCCTCCCGCCTGGATTTCCGGAGTATTCGACCCCCCTCCCGCGAGAATTTCCAGAATCCCATCCGTCGGGGGGGTGTGGATTTTTTCTGGAACAACCCATTTTAAAATATTCCAAACCTGGACACAGTAAAAAGTACGTCTTTCGGGCCAAATGAATTGAAAATGTGGTGCTAAAAGAAAAATACTGTCAACAAAATCGAGGAAAATGAGCCAGAGAAACTAAACAAGCTACTTAAAACAGACTTCGCTGAAGTAAAAAAAGAGCAAAAATGGTGACAACCACATGCAAGCCATGACAGCTACACTTGTCCGGCATTTAAATGAACAAGGATACAATTTTTCCATCACAACAACAGGGATTTCAAGCCACGTATGTTGTCCGTTGCAGGACAAAGGTGTCCTGTTGCTCTCCTTAAGTGTTTTTGTCGAGCGAAGACCTCTACTATAACATGAGATGGTGTACCCTGGGTGCCAGAAGTTTTTTTTTCCTGTTGTTTGCAACAAAAATTGAGCGGCGAAGCCGCGATCGTAAGAAGTGGGAGAAAAAAAAACCTCTTGTCACGGTAGTTACGAGCCTCACTTCCATGCAATTATTTTGAAACAAGATAGCTTGCCAAACCGGTTTTAAGTGGCATCTGTTTGTTTACGTAATTTGACATGCCTGCACGTGGGGCAGTGATGCATAAAACAGCGCGTAATGCTGTCAAATTGAGGGATGGCGAATTTCGTGAGCAGTGTTTCGATAACTGCAGTGAAAAGATTGACGTCTGTAAATAGTGTATATAGTGTAATTAATTTTTGCAGAGTGTGTAATGTAAATTTTGATATATAATATCTGGATATGGAAAGTTCAACTTATTTGACGGTGTGCGTTCCAAGGACCAAAACATAGCCGCAAAGTTGTCATCTGTGCTGGGATTTCCCGTCAACAAGGAGAGCACTTCTTCGTCCGTTTTGTGCATGAACTGTAGAAGGGAATTGGACAAATTTGAAAAGTTCTTCGAGGGGCTTAGTGTTTTTAAAGAGAAGGCTGATCAGACGCTCAAGGAGCAGATAGAAATGACAAAACGGGGAACTCACGTGAACAGGGTGTAAAGGTGCCACAAAAGTTCGCCAACTTCGAGCAGTCCTGCCATGAAGAAGTCCACATTTAACTCTCGTCCAAGTGTTCCGCCGAAATCTTTGTTGAGACAGAAAGAAAATGTGTTACCGCCAGAACTTCAAGTCAACGACAACTTAGTGGTCCCTGAGAAACCCAAGAGAATTACTTCTTCCATCGAGGTAAGAAAAATTGATATCGCTTTGAATAAACCTATAAGCTTATGGCTATGAATAATTCCCAAGTTTTCTTTGCGGCAAATTGAGCGGCAATAATTTTTGTGTTTGCAAGTTTTGCATGATCTTTGAGTTCTTTTATGTGTGCATCAATCAAGGTGGTCAACGGGCAAACAACAACTAAGACGGCCACTTTAGGATAGTTGAACTCTTGATCGTGCAAATATGCACTTACCCTCGGAACGATTTGAAAGATCAGAGAATTCCCGCATCCAGCTGGAAGCACCGCAAACACATCTTTTCGCTTGATGAAGTGGAGCCAGGCTTCTTCCTGGACAGGTTTCAACTCAAGAATATTGGAAAAACAACTATCCAACGCAAATTGTACTGCACCACGAAAGGCTCGCTCGAATTCACCGCTATCGTCCGCCTTTTTCTTTGTTTGAAGTTTCTTCGAGCCAAAAAACCGGTTTTTAGGGCTCCTCGGGAGCATTCCAGAGATTCGGCCAATGAGAGTTCTTGTTAGATCATTATCACTCAGAAAGGTCTAAGACTAAATTAGAACACCAATCAGCGACCGAGTTCAAAATCTGTACTCACGGAAGTGAGGTTCGTAACTGCCGTGACCAGAGGGTTTTTTTCTCCCACTCGTCACGATCGCAGATTCACCGCTCAATTTTCGCTGCAAACAACAGGTAAAAAAGGGTAGAGATGGTGCCGTGGTTCTTTCTACCTGATCAGTATCAAATGAAACCGAAAACTTGATGACAAACATCTGGTTCAAACTAAACCAAACGGCGAAAATACCACAAGTAACAGATAATGAAAAGAATCTGTAAATGATACTAGCCTTGAAGTTTAAAGTGAGAAAAAAGTTCACGAATCATAGTGCAAGAAAAACAAGAGACAGCAAACATTGTACGCTCACATATCGCCAGAGTCACAAGCCACAGAAGTGTAAATTTCTTAAACGACTGCAATGAAGACGATGAAAAAAAGCGACCATGACTCTTTCTTGCAATATCCAAACGAAATTATTAAAACTCCAGCGCTGAGAAAAAGCAGATATTGGCAGTTTCCGACATCACAACAACTGTAACAGTAAAATTGTGATTTGTTAAAAAAAATATAAAAAAACGAAATCGACTTGATAAAAAGCAATCGAAACTTCTCAAGCTATATATCAGGAACACAGTTTAAGTTTTGAGGGCGTTGGACGTAACAAAACTATTATGGAATCTATTCGTCTTGAAAACGGGCCTAAATTTCCGTGACTATGCTGATGTCACTTTTATGACTCCACTTTCAGTTGTAAGTGTTCAGTAGCTAAAAACCAGGCTTACACTCGTCTTTAATTTAATTAATTAAAACTCATTGTCTTCAGCAAATTATTTTAATGTATTTTTACATGTAACTTTAAAAAATCATAACTCTGGTGTTATTTACAGTTCAATATCAACCTATACCTATTTACCTAAATATTTCGGTGGTAGGAAACCCATAATAATCCACCACAAAAAAATTAAAAACACATATTTTGCATAAAAATTTTTAAAATTTTTAAAGAATGTCATTTAGCTAGGAAACTTCTTTATTTTGGGTGATATGGTAGTAAGAAATTTTTTTCATCAATATCTAAGCAAAAAAACACAAAAATCGTTCTAAAATATGGAGCGACTAGAAAATTTTCTCCAAATTTTTTTCTGCACGCTGTCATAATTATGCTAGTTAGATTATCATAATTACCATAATCCCTTGGCGTCAACTCGTGACTACATCTGCCTCGTCCCCAGTCGCTCGCGATCACTGGGAGATATTTGAGTTAATTATTAAGGAAAGCGGGGACAAAGGGAGTGATGGGAAGGGGAGAAAAAGCGAAGCGCCTGGCAAATCCTGATTCCAAGATGGCGGAGCAAGTAATGGCGGATTTCCTGGAAATGTTTAGACCGGTCCACGAGGCTGTAAAAACGAAAAAAATCATCTGCCCGGAACAGAATTGCTACAAGGACATGGCATTTTTTGAAGAAAGAGGCTTAGGTCATCATTATCGATCTATTCACAAGAAAGATGCAAATGCTAAGGTACTGACGATGGCACGATTAAAGACCCAAGAGATATACGGCAGAGAAACGGTACAGTTTATTTCGACTATCTCTGAATGGAAATCGAAGGTGAGTAATAACTTATGCTTGAATTTCTGGCTGCTGAGCTAATAAGTAATCAGTAATCCATGAAAAGGCTTTCCTGGACAGGACCGATGGAAATTTAATTTTAAAATTTAATTTTAAGTTTAAGCACATTTAACCTTAATATAATAGAAACGCCGAGGAAGAAAAAAAAAAGGAGTTCAGTCACATTTAAAAAAATAATGGCAGTGTACGTTTGTGTGTTATGTAGCCTAAAAACCATTAAAACAACTGCTGCCTAATTCTTCCGATTGATAGCCATTTTTCGAACTTCAGGTCTCTGACGGTAAACGTTTTGAAGTTGGTTGTGAGAACTTCTGGCTAAAAATCTTTGCCAAGGATGCTGAGGAAGCTGCCAAGCTATATGGACAGTATCTCCTGTGTTCAGGTCGCCTGAAATCATATGCAGAACAGAGCGAACCGCGCAAGGTTGAAGTCAGAACTGCGGAATTTGAGACACATTTCAATGCATGGTCTACCTACAAATTCATTGAAAGTAACGTGCAAGGAACGGTTATTATACTCGAGTGCTGCTTTATAAAAAGGGTATGTTGCCAACTCTGCATTATATTTTTACCATAAATTTACCTACTTTTTGTTGAGGTCACACTTGGCATAATAATCAGATGGTTTAGCATAAAGTATCTTACAGCTTTCAATCTCTTATATTCCTTTTGTTTACCATTTGTAACATGTGATTAAAGCTCTAAAAGTCCTGAAAAAAATGGAAGTCCTTTAAACTTCCTTTACTTTTCACATAGGTTAAAAAAAATAATATGCAAATAGGACTAATTCATCTTCTCTATGTCATGTTTTTTAGAATCTAACATCTGTGCCAGCTCCAGGACAAGACTTCACAATACCACTCATGTTGCAAAGCAACGACACCCTTGCCCCTTGCTCCGAAGAAGCTGTTGATAACAGGGTTAGAGTCCTGGAATCAATATTCCACCACAGAAGCTTTAGAGGAAAGCAAGAGGAAGCCATTGATGCCATCCTTCAAGGAAAAAATTGTCTTCTAGTATTACCAACAGGTACAGGGAAGACAGTATGCTATGCCATCCCAGCTCTGATTTCTGGTGGAGTTACTGTTGTTATCTGTCCACTGTTATCACTGATGCTAGACCAAGTGCACCGTTTGCGGGCAAAAGGCCTTAATGCCTGTTATATTAACTTTGATGTTCCATCAACAGAACGAGATGTACTTATTCACAACCTTTTGTCGGACAGCCCACCATATAACTTTTTGTTTTTAACACCCGAGAATGTCACCTCTCCACAGATGCTAGACATGTTTTCCAAAATGGAGCAAAAAAACACACTAAAGTACATTGTAATTGATGAGTGCCACTGCATTGATATGTGGGGGCACGATTTTAGGCCTGCCTATGCTAATCTTGGCAGCCTGACCCAGTTGAGGTGTCCTGTAGTGGCCATGACAGGCACATGTACATCCAGAACAGAGGAAGTGATCTTAAAGTCACTAAACCTTAGCAATGTCACAGTTGTCAGGCAGTCTTGTGACAGAGAAAACATTTCTTTGTTTGTGAAACAAAAAAAGGCGGATGGCAAGGATCAGGTTGCAGCCTTAATTTTGGAGAACTATGCTGGTCAATGTGGGATTGTTTACTGTTTACAACGTGGTGACACCACTGATATGGCATATTTACTACAGACTAAGGGTGTCAATGCCACCTATTATCATGGCGCCCTGGATCCTTACAGAAAACGAGAAAATTTTCAGGCCTGGCAGGAAGGAAGAGCCAAGGTCATGTGTGCTACGGTGGCCTTTGGAATGGGCATAGACAAACCAGACGTCCGTTTTGTAATTCACCTGTCCATGCCCAAATCACTGGAATGCTATGCTCAAGAATTTGGACGTGCAGGTAGAGATGGTGAACCTTCACAATGTTTTGTGTTTTATAGATTTGAGGATCGCACAAAGCACTTGCAAATGTTAAGTTCTCTACCAGATGGTGAGCATAAATGTCTTAAGGTGGCAGAGTTAAATGGGATGATAAAACTGTGCATCAAACCAGAGTGCCGAAAACTGCAACTGAAGAAATATTTTGGAGATGCTGATAACAATGTATGCAAAACCTGTGATTTCTGTCTGGACGGTGCTTGTATTGAGAAAACTGAGGCACATTTGGAAGCAGTTGAAGTGCTCCATTGCCTGCAGAGTATGAATCATTTACACTCTAAAGTAACATTTAACTTGCTGGTTTTAGTTTACAGGGGATCCAAGAGAAGAGAAGTATTGTCAAAATCGTTTCATAACATTCCACAGTATGGGAAGGGGAAAACCAAGTTTTCTGACAGTAGTCTTCAGCATTTTGTACAATTATTGATCTCTGAAAATGTTATTGCTGAGAAACTAAGGGGTGCCAATGAGAACGGATCAACACCTTATTTGATTCCAGGAAGCCGGGCCGAAGCCTTAACTAATGGGGAGCTTTCTATATACAGGTACAAAATGTAACAGGTTGAAAATAAATAACATAATAATGGTACGCGTATCTGTTACAAGTCACATTTAAATTCTGGTTAAAATTTTTTGGCGTGGGTTGATTCTCAATTTCCTTCGTGTCCTAGCCCTAATTATTCATGAATTAGGGCTAGGAGACAAAAAAGGAGAATAAAGCTAGGTTACAAGATTTCAACCTGAATTCAAATTTGACCTGTAACATGTTCATAACTACCCCTTATGAGATTAACTGGCCATTCCATGGGCTTAGGTAAACTAAATTATTAATGAAGGTGAAATAGAAAAAACAGTTTCATAGAAAGAATAGCTTTACTTTCAAGAAAATACGAAAAATTGTAAATAGTGCTTTAGTGATTCAGTGAGTCATTCTTTGTTGCAAATAGTAAGCCTGAATTTTGATATAGCTAAGGAGAAATTAATCAACATGAACACTTTTAATGCCCACTGGGGTGGCCTTGACTTGGATAGGGGAAAGATGAGAATGAAAGTAGTAACACCTCGAGTGAAGTTATGTGCCCTGATGTGGCCTTGGCTTGGTAGTTTGATTAAAAAAAAAACCGACAGGGAGATATACTTTGTAAGCACCTTTATGCTTTGATGATTCCATACACTTTGCTTAGACTGAGACTTTTACCTTGTAAGCCTATTTAGAAAGAATAATTATGGAGTCATTGGAGCAAAACAATGCTTATCTCTCCCAGCCAATTTACAATATTAACTGGCCTATTTTTGGCAAGCAAACACTTTTCATCTTGTTTTTTCTATCTCATAATGTCACAATAATTTAGTTTCTTAGAAATTATCACTTTGGCTTCTGTCAATACTAAACAATTCTTCTTGAGAGCCTTCAAAGGCCGACAAGAGCCCTTTTCATTACAGAAGCAACAACTTGTCATTTCGATTAATTAGCAAACGTACCAGAGTTCAATGTGCCATAGTTAGGATTTAAAATGGCAATAAAAACATTGACTTAAAATGTGGTTCCTTTGGCGGAACTTAGAAAACTGAACTGAAGTAATTTTTATTAATCTGAATCCCTTCCCTCTTCTTCATCTAGATTCAAGACACCAAACAATGAAAACAATTTCCTGTTGAAGTTATCTTCAACTTTTTTCTTGCCTGAAGCATAAGCATCCACGTTAGAAATTGAAACTGATCCGGAACTACCATATTTCTCCACAGCTTGTCTTGTAGTATCAGGATTTAGAAATTTAGAGGCAAGGATAAACCTCATGGCCTTGATCTGATCTGGGAAAGGGTCTTGTTCACAGTGCCTTGAGGTAGGGTGAATGTTAAATGCTTCACGTGAGTGATACGCTCCACGAACAACTCCAATAAGATCAAGGTTTGCCATCAGCCTCTGCAACATTTGCACTGTAGTATGTCCTAAATAAATGAAAATAAAAAAAAAAGAGAGAGACAAGTTTCAGTAGTTACTCAATGAAAAGGTACATTGTATGTTACCATGAAAATGTGAAGTTTGAAATACAAATAATTATTTTAGCACAAATACCAAAACCTTACATGTACATTGTATTTTTGAATGTTGAAGGGGTGACATGATAAAATATAGGGGCACCATGGATTACCAATGGAATAGCGAAGTAATGCCTTTACACTGTAATGTACATTGCAAAAGTTAGTGATATCTTGGAAGGCCACAATAATGACAACACGAGTTCAGGTTTAAAAAAAAAAAAAAACAAGAAAACTAACCTGTGGCATAGTTCTTCATGGGTTGCACAACACAACTCTCCACCCACTCATCTAAAGCAATGTTGTGGCCATTTTTGCCATTTAGGCTCACAGAACAATTATGACGGAGCAACTCTCTTGTAGCTCGTGGCCAAGCAGCAACAAAGTTGATGATGTGCACCATTGCTTCTGTGTGGTAGTTGCGCTTATTGGCTTGTGCAAAGAGTGGATGCATCAACATCCAAGCTGCTTCACGTCCCAACCCATGGCCAAATTTGATGGCATCCTCATAGAGATACTGTAGGGGACCAAACAAGTTGAACATTTGAGAGTAATAATTAAATGATGCATCTTCCCTACTTGAGGCAATCCACTCTTTAAATTTATTTAAGAGGACCAAGTTGTGACTGCCTATCTCTCTCTTCCCCCTCCTCAGCAGATCTTGACTAGGAAAGGAATCTGAGCCTCTAAACTCCAATGCAGCAGCCATACCAAATGCAAATGCAACATCACGCAATGCCTCACTGATGCGGTTCAGGTTCTGCTCTTGAAATTTTTTCTGGCCAAAACTGTCATCGGTGACTTTCTTTCTTCCAAGCACTTCCCTTACAATGTACATAAACCCACCTGGAGACATAACTTTCTTACAGACCTCATACAGATAACCCTTGGCATGCATGTCTCCAGGAACCTCAGAGCACCATCCGTAAGCTGCTTCAGACCGGCTCTTCACACCACGGAGAACCTTATTGGTACCCTGGTCGCCCACAAACAATGTCCTGCAACCCTTATTGCTCCTATCATATTTGTAATGTTCCTCACTGTTTGACTGCTCCTCCATCTCAGAAACATTGGGACAGTTTTCCACAACCTCTCCACGCTGGAAGATTTTGGAAAGTTCTTTATCAACTGAATTACTTGATTTTAGCCTTTCCTCCATATCTGCTACCACTTTCAAGTTAAGCTGCTTGGCAATGTACAATGGACTAGGAATGGTGCTAAAGAAGTAATCACTATAAACAGCAAAGTTATTCAGCAAAAAAGAACACATTTCTTCATCCTTTCTGATAACAGCCAGTGTAAGAGGAGCTGCCCCACATCTCTCCTTGACATTAACATCCACCCCAGCAGAGACAAGAGTCTTAACAAGTGTCATGTTACCATTCTCTACAGCTGCATGAAGTACAGTCCTACCATGGTGGTCTGTAACATCCGCCCAGCTTTGCCGTTGTGCTGACATCCAGTGAACGAACTTGTCATACTCACTGACGTCACCTGCCTGTTGTGCATCCCACATTTTTCTAACCAAGCTATCAAAAATGTTTTGGAATTTAGCATCAACCTTTTGAATGTTACTGGCACTCAAGTCTTCATCTTGTGAGTAACTTTCATCTAGTGCATCCTGGAGAGGATCAAAGGCCTTTTCAGCCTCTGTCAACTGCCTTATTGTCTCAGTCATTTCTGACTTGTGTTTGTTTAGAGAGGTCAAAAAATCCTGATGGCATCGTGCTGCATTTATGTCAAAGGTTTGCCCTTTTTTATCAAATGGAAGATATTCTTTGTCATGCTCACAAGGCACACCAAACTCCTTTCCAAACTGTTCAATAATTGCTGCAGTCCCAGTTGTGGTTGCATTATTTTCCAGGGAAAGAGGAAGGATTAAAGTATCAGTCTTACCACAACATGGGTTAGATTCAATGGTGGTTTGAGGGAGTTTGATAGTAAAATTTGGTTGTCTCTTTTCTTTAAAATCCTGCTTTGCTAACCAGTCTCCAAACTCTTTTTCATCCATATCCCGCAATTTTTTGCTTGAATCAGGAATACTGTTAAGTGCAGAATCAAGGACTTTAAGCAGAAAGTAGTCTTGCATTTCCGTCCAGATCGTAAGGTGTTCCGGATGGCTTTCTGAAAACAAAACAAAGACAAAATTTACACTGTCTTACTTATAAGTAACATCATGTATACTACTCCATGAAGCAGGGGCAAGAAACAATCTAATACTCATAAAAATCTTGAGTCCAAAAAAATTAAAACAAAACCAAGCAACTCTGTGATGAGCCCAATGATTTGGAGCTGCAGACATAAAAATCGAATAAACATTTCCACCACTAAGTCTGCAACACAGTACTATTGTGTTATAATTATCACCTTTGAAAAAATGGACTAAGGGGAAGGTGATAAGTGACAACTGTATCAGCAGGTTAGTTACCTATAAATGTGTCCTCTGCTGTGACTTCCTTGGGATCATGCTGGCTCTCTTCAGCAGTCTCTCCACTTTGAAATAAATCTTGGAATTTGTGGAATTTTGGCACTATCAAACCACGGACTGTAAAGTTCCACATCTTAGGTCCAAGGACCTTGAAGAGGCGGTGGTGTCGTCTGTTGCCATGATACAGATTTATGTTATCCATCAGCAAGATAGAAGGCACTGAAGTTGGGGCACTTTTGTCAATGAGCTCTTGAAAATTAGTCACACGTCTATCCAAGTATGTCATTCTAAAATAATCAAGGTAAAATTTATTATACTTTGCTAACAAATAACTTGTACACTATCGACACAAAGGCATTGGTCTTCAGCGAAAAATAAACAAATGAATTATTCTTTCCTGGATTTTTGTATTATTTTCACCTCAGCTAACTTATATGCTACTAAATACACATTTAAATTCCACTTTGCTTATTGCCTTTTAGATTCAAGAATAATATTATCCAAGATAATATGACCAATCAAACCCCCATAAGCCCCTCCCCAACCCCATGTTCACAAGATACTAGGGTACTCAGGGTGAAAGATTTTATGTCAAACATTAATAAAGTGACACTTTTTGGAAATGCTCTTTTTCACCTCTTTTGTGAAAGAGAACAGCAACCAAAACAACATTAAAGACACATGATACTCACATTGTGTTCCAATGTACGGAAAGCCCCATGGACTGCAGCATGTCAGTAAACTGTTTGCCAGCACCATAAGAAACACACAGGAGCCCAAACAGTAATGGAAACGAATTTCTTGCATTAGAGTTCCTAATGTTGACCATGAATGCCAATGACTGCAATCCACACAAAATTTTATGCGAGTTCGTTTTATAAACATTGCGCTCCTGTTGATTAGAAATGACCAGTGTTTCGATGACTTCATGAATCAGTGGGCATCTCTCTTGAACTTCTTCTGTAAATTCTTTAAAAAGGTGTGGACTGACACTATCATAAGCTTCTTGTGAAGAGCCATCCCTGATATTTGTATCACAAAGTCGTTCAAGAACTTTCATTTCCTCCCTTATTGTGCTTTTTTGTCGTTTAGACAGTTGGTCATGAGATCCTTCCATCTTTAACCTGGAGATTTCTGACTCATATGCATTTATGAGAGTCTTTAACAGACTGTCCCTTGTCTTTGCCTCCCTGGTGTAATCCATAATGAGCTTTGTAATGTCTTTACCTTCATTGTTTCTTTCAACCAGGGCAGACCAAATCTGGCAAATGGCATGTTCTGACGCTTGAAGATTTTGTAGTAGATGCATCAATTCCTCTGGGGAAAAAAAGCCACTGCATTAAAAGATTAAACTTTGAACCATGTAGCCTTTTGATTGAGGCAGCCACGTTATTATTTGTGTTGTAAATACTGTCAGTTTGTTTTGCTCATCAATCAGCACTCCCCTAAATCTTCTCAAGTCTATATTATTATAATTCCTGACAAGCCCAAATAAGTAAAATATCCCTGAACAATAATGGCTCGTATTGCAGTTAGATGAATAGTGTGATAAAATAAATCACTTACCATTCATAACAGAGGGCCTTTCTTTAGACACCAATGATGCAATGTTGAATTTAACGGCAAAGTTTACGTAAAAGGTTGTAACTTAAGTCAAGGAAATTCAATGCATCTGTGTCCAAGTTGAACTTAAACACTCAAAAATAATGTCTCAGACTCCGCTTGTGAGCACTTGGCATGGAATCCCACTCATCAAAAAAATTTAATTCTTTTATTCAGAGTCAGAGTAATATAATTATTATTATATATAATATTATTGATCGAATATATTTATATTATTTTCATTAACAGGTTAAAACATTCACTAATCAAAAGGATATTGTTTCACTCCTCTTTTGTCCTCTCTTCTCTTCTGGACCCCAGGGAACATGTCCTTCACAGCACGTGACACCAACTTCTGGCTGTCATGATCCAGCCCAAGATATGATAAAACACTCTGGACTGACACTTCCGAGCCCTCTCTAACCTCAAACCCCTCCTGTAAAAGAGCCTTCAAGTTTTCTCTTCTTTCTTTTACTTCCTTGCCACTGGGCTTTCCACCTGTCAACAAGGCAAACGTTTATTTTAGAACTGAATTTTCAAACCTGCAATGAGACCTGTTAAACATGAATGTGAATTATTTTTACACTAGAGATAAAAAACTTATTATAGAAAAAATTTTTTGCTCACAGACTTATCTGACCATCTCCACTATCATAATGTAGGTATTTGGAACAAGCTTTTAAGCTTTTAATATATGGACAGTCATCACGGCATTTATGCATAAAGTATGTCATCACCATTTCATATAAATATGGCAACAGGGAAGGATCAATGATACATGAGTGGAGTAGTAACAATCTTAAATACATTATGCCATGTAGGCGAAAACATAGAACATAATGTCGCTTACCAATTTCAAACCGTTTGGCGTTTGGTAATGTAGCCATCTTTGATGAAGGTGTGAGGTCATGTTTACCGGCCCGAGATTGGCCTTCTCGAACACCGCTCGCCTCGTCTAACTCTCGCAAGATTGAACGAGCGCGTTTGGGAGTACTTGTACGGTCTTCACCTTCAAGGAAACAGCAAAAGAGGGGATTAAACATGCATTTAAACTTCAAAGGAGCAAGCCATGAAATGTGGTAGAAAATGACACAATATGTCTCCGACATGTACTTACCGGCAATCGTTAATTCTCCGATGGAAACTTCTAAATCCTCCACAGAATCTTCTAAAAATTCTTCCAATGATCGTAGGGGCGCTTCATCGCCTAAATACTCGTCCATTCTCGCTATCTGGACGACTTTCACATTTTCGAGCGCTTTCGCAGATTTGCGACACAGGATTTGGCAGGCTTTCCCCTCTCTCTCCTTTTCCTTCCCATCACTCCCCGCTCGCGCTCTACGCTCGTTCCCATCATCCCTCTCTCCCGCTTCTCGCGTGCTCGCGAGTTCCCCTATCCCCACTTAGCCTTGGGAAAGCCTGTGGAGGAGGCAGTGACTACATGTTTACTTCCCTAACTAAGACGCTTTGTTTCCTCGATTCCCAAAACAATATCGAGTTAGAGACAAGCAGACATGAATTTGCTGATAGAATTCATCAAAATAAGCAAGAATTTGACGGCCAAAAGTGAAGCGAAGGCAAAACGGGAAGGAAATCGTCGCCGTTTCAAGAACATGTGGCACAGAGTTCGGCGATCGCCGATTTACTGCGATTTACATGCACAGATTCTAAGTGTTTCCTTACCTCAATTTTCGCGTCTATTTTGCTTGTTATCCTCCAAAATCCTTCAGAATAGTTTGCTTGAGTTGTATTTGGTTGACATTCGTCGATACAAACTTTCATTATTCGCAAAACCGGCTCACAAAAATTCCCCGCGACTCGCCATAAAATTCAAAATTTTCGAAAGCTTGGTGTGTGACGGTCAACAGTCCACAGGGGCTGGAACTAGGCAGGTGATTGGCCAAATTTGGGAGCAATCGGAAGTAACACAATTTTTTGCGAAATATCTTTGGTCACCGTTCCTCAAGCCCCGATTTCGGCGACCCCGGAAGCCAATTAAACCGCATTTTAAGTTATTAAGTACAAAGACTCTGTCTTTCAGTAGCATACAACATTGTACATCTCAGCTTCAGACCAATTACTGTTTTAAAACGAAACGAGCTACAGCGCAATGCTGCATGCAATGCAAAAAGTTGTAACCTAAAGCACAATTCTGAAAGCTATTTTGCAAGTGCAGTAAATACTAACGAGAAAAGATCTCAGTACTATCTGTAGTTATCGAAGCCTTCAAAAAGTCGGTTATGTTCCTCTGTACACCGTTCGAAAATCATTGTTTGGTATACCGGCGACTGGGCTTTAAACTCGCACCTTGCATAGCTCATCAGCCAGACTAGACGAAGCTAGAGATTCACCTGATCACCGTAGTGTCCGTAATAAAGAGGTTAAGTTTATATGAATTTACTCTCTGGGGCCGAGATTTACTGTCCGTTGTCTGTATTATAGAGGGTTTTTTTTGAGAAAATATAGGAAAATTTTGTCGGGACATTGGAAACTGTCCGAAATAGAGAGGTGTCCGTACCGAGAGGTTTGACTGTACAATAAATTGAAACTTATCAGTGTGCAATTTTCCTTAATGCGCTTTACATTAAGCCAAACAGAAGAAAAATGAATGAAATGTACAAGCAGAGAAAAAGACTAAATGATAATAGATGTAATAATAATAATAATAATAATAATAATAATAATAATAATAATAATAACAATAATAATGATAATAATAATAAACGAATTATTAATATCCTACTACTCTACTGCGCTTAACAGTAAGTTTAAAAGAATAAAAATGAATAACAAATTACTAACAGGTAAAAGATCTAAAAAATAATGATAATAAAATAAATAATAAAATAAACGAAATAAATACTCTACTACAAATTAAAAGCTTCTCTAAAAAGATATGTTTTAACACTGGCATTTAAAATTTGAAAGAGAAACACTGGATATTTTACTGGGAAGAATGTTCCAGAGCTTCGGGGCTGCCCCTAGCATAGGAACCTCTTGCATAATTTTTCGCTGGATCAAAGCGAATATCTGGTTGATGTTGTCCGGCTGATCAATCTGCAGATATAATCAGGGGCCATGCCGTGAATAGCTTTTGAAGTAATAAGAAAAAATTTAAACTCCAAGCGGTACTTAATGGGCAGCCAGTGAAGCTGACATAAGACTGGCATTATAGGGTTATATGGCAAAACTTAGTTTGCTTGAGAATAAGTCTTGCAACTGCATTTTGTGCGTCTACTATGTGCTAACCTTTTTATATTATATTTTACGCATAATGTAATGTCTAGCTTGTTTTAATTAATTATTTTCTTTTCTCCCTTTCGTTCATTTAGCCGAATTACCGAAAAGCTCCGAAAACATGCAGTGAAATAAACCACGCAAAAGCCCCAAGTGGCAGTTATCAAAGGAATACCGCGACGTTAATGACTTATTCATGCAGTCATTCATTGGTCAAACCATTTACATGATTACTAATTTGAAACGAGAAATGCCAAAGTATAAAGCAAATCAAGTGCGGAACAATGTTATTTTAATCATACTGATAGCGTTACAGGTATTTCAGCCAGTTTATACATATCTCATAAGGATTTTGCAAAGCATTAAAACAATAGTTAAATATGTAATCCCTAGATTCTTATTTAAACCCCTCCGTCTATAATTTACAATACTGACAGTAATAAATACAGGGTAACTTGTAGTCGGAAATCCTTTGAAACTCCACCGGAGCATGGGAGTGCGGAGTGCGTGGAGGAATGCCAGTGAATATAGAAGATAGGTAATTCTTCATTCCAACCATTGTAAGGTTTTTTATGTATATACTGACTTTAAGTCACCCTATACTCTATTGAGAGTTTAAAGCCACAGGAGGCCCACTGAAGAAAAACCTTTTTCCCATCTTGCCCTGAAACCCGGGGGCTTCTAAGCGAGATTTCACCGTACAAATGCCGGGGCTATGATCAGAGCTTTTTTTTATATCCTAGATTACCAAGATGGATGTTTTAAGGCCCTTTCGTTAAAGTGTTTCTCCTTTTTTAAGGCTCTCTCTTTCTCTTTCTCTTTTTTTAAGGTACGTTATTTTTGGTCATAGAACCATATCTCATCGGAGGTTAGAGCTAACGCTGGTTAGTATTTTAAGAAGGGTACTTAACCCGATAACTGTCTTCTAAAAAACATGAAAAAATTTTGTTTTAATTTCAAATCTTGAGCCCGTAGAGAAACTCAATGTTATTATATGACAAATCTGTGGGTACTTAATAAAACTATTATTTCAGCCCAAACGTTTTCAACGTTCTGAATGACGAGCGTTTTAGCAACCAGATATCAAACTCTTGCATTGCAAGAACAACCATTATCGCGGTGAAAAACCTGGGTAAGTCGGGTAACACAATAAACCAATCTTTTACGAAAAATTCACTGTGCTCTAAAATAAACTTCGGTGCAATCCAACATGGCGGTTGATCTTCTCAGATAGTGCCTAACTTTTAAGGCTCGTCATTCAGTTGAAACCTTAATCACTTTATACTTCTTTGATAGCATCCGCTGATTGCTGGAAATCCTACTCAGCCCCACTTTCTATTTTCGTGCCGTGAAAGACTAATCTATAAATAGCCAAGTAAAAATCTAAAAATACTATAAGAGAGGTTTACATTCCTGGATGATGGGCTCCTGATTAGATCTGGATGGCCTTAGCGTTACACATTTTTTGTTATAATTAAAGCTCCTTTTTTGTTAGTTTTAATTCTTTCAGTATTTTCTTGGCTTAGTTTCTAAGTCCATTACATGCATTTAGCTGTTTATGCTTGTTCCGTCTTAAACTGTCCGATTATTGGGGATACTTCTTCTTCTCCATATTAATCATCACTAGCTTCAGGTGGCACGTTGTAATACGGACGATCTTCATCGTGCTTGTTTACATGCAAATATGGTGCATCTCTTTCCATTATCGCCTCCATTTTTTCGATCAAACGGTAGAAACTGGGACGAATGTAAGGGTCTTCGTTCCAACATTCAGTAATCAGCTCATATCTGTTATGAATTGAAAAAAAAAAAAAAGAACAATTCAATGCTTAGAAGAGCTCCAGTCAATTATTAGACAGTGTCAATAGGGAAGACCTCTTTATAGCTTGTAGACCCTTGTATGTTTTGGTTTCCCAAAAGAGGTCCCGGGGGAGTTTGACCGTTAGAAATGACCCCTATTGGGAAAACAAAACATTTAAGCGAAAGAGGTCTATTGGAATAAAAAAAAAAAATTTAGTAGAATATATAGGCTTCTTAGCTTCATGAGTTTCATTTTTCTCGACATTTTCACAGCCAAAAAATCTTATCTGGTCCTCTTAAGTCATTTTACAGACCGAAATGACAGAATTCCCTACCCTTTCATATACTTCCACTAGCAAAATTCCTACACCAAAAGACTGAAAGAAGGACCCCTTCTGGGGGGGTGCCTCCCCAGTACAGGGAGTACTCCCCCGGCCCCAAGAAAGAGGTTAACCTGATCACTGCTAATGATGCCTTTATTGACCATAAAGCTTGGAGGGTTTCCTTGTTCAACGAGTGAAGATCTTAACAAAAGTTTTCCCTTGCCGTCCGTCTGGTCAGTATTTAATATGATCAGAGAAGGCGTTAAAATATTTGACGAATTCGTATGCTGCACCGTTCGGTGTGAAATGTAACTGAGCAGAGGCACAGAAAAATCGAATCTGTTAAATCTAAGACCACTCTAATCAGGAAACGTACACGTCATCGGAGCACATGTCAGGCCTTTCCATGCGATAACCAGTACCGAGCAGTCGATACAACTCTGAGTTGGTCAGCGTGGGGTATGGTACGCCTCCTGACGATTGCGAGAAAGAAAACAAATGATTACATATCGGCAACTGAATACATGTAATTCTCCATTAGTTAGATTTCTATTGAAGATGCCTTAGTCGATTGTCACTTCTCCTCATATAAACTCAATAAGGCCATTTTGCAAAAATGGTTGATTGAATAGAGGTCTGATATATGGCCAATGCAGTTAAATGTGTAATAATAGAGGGCATAAGGTTCTCGTTTCCAGTCATCACTGAAATGCTCGCAAATTTAATATATGTTGTCACATACGCTTATCAACTAGGAGACGTCTCACAGCACTTAATCAATTAAAACATAGCCCAGATCAAACAAGAAAATTCAAACTTGCCGCAAATGAAACATTATGAAACATTGCTTTCGCCCTTCCTGGTAGCAGTAACCTTGATAACAATCGTAACAGTTAAGTTACATCCCACCATGGCAAAAGGGGCAAGGTGGGTTCATGCACGGTCCCTAGCTTAATTCTCCTGGAAGCTCTAAAGTTTGCAGTGTGAAACCATTATCCTGCGGGTCGTACATGAGTTTTCAACATTTTGACATCATTTCTAGGTCGATAAGAGTCATAGACCATGAAAAATGTTTTTTTGATTTGTCAGTCACCTCAAATTTAACATGACAACAATAAACTGCAAAATTACCGTCCACTCACCCAAGGTAGCCATTTCCCAAAGAACAACACCAAAAGACCAACTATGAAAAAAAACCAAAGATGTTATAAATATGTACAGATTCACGATATTTAGATTGTTTATTCCCCTGTTTATCTCTTAATTCCTTTTATTTGTCGTGGACGAGCCCAAAAATGCGTGTACTTTTGAGTTTTGGATGTAATTGAAAAATGTAGTTGAAAACTGTCTCAACCAGAGGAAACTGTTCACTGCATGTAAATCACTGCTTAACCTATCGAAGTGTGCCAGTCTCCCTCTACATTCTGATCTTAATAAATTAATGGCTAAAGATTTTGGCAAGTTCTTCCGTGACAAAATTAACTCCATTTGGCTTGAGATTGCTCGCCAAGGTAGCACTTCCGATGTTAGCGAGTCCCACTTTGCACATGAAGGCCCCTCTTTTTCTGCATTTCGTCTTCTTTCTGAAACCGAAGTTCATGAACTAATCAAATCATCTACAAAGACGACTTGTTCTCTTGACCCCATTCCTACTAAGCTTTTTACTGAGTGTCTTGATGTATTACCTCCTCCAATTACGAAATTAATTAACCTTTCGCTGGAATCAGGCTATTTTCCTCTTATCTGAAAGCGCCCTTTGTTAAACCACTGCTAAAGATGGAGGGTCTCGATCCCATCTTTAAGAACTATAGACCTGGGAGTAACCTCGCATATGCCTCAAAACTTGTGGAGACAGCGGTCGCCAAAAACAACTTCAACATTATTTTTTCAGCAATGATCTCTTCCCTGTTCTGCAATCAGCTTATCGTCCCAAACACAGCATAGAAACAGCACTTCTCAAAGTCAATAGCGACATCCTCCTTAAAATGAACGATCAACGTGTCACTCTGCTTCTTCTCTTCGATTTAAGTGTGGCTTTTGACACTGTCGATCACGACACTTTACTGCACCGACTTCAGTTCACATTTGGTATAAATGGAAAAGGCCTCTCCTGGTTTTCGTCTTATTTGTCCGGAAGGTCTCAGCAAATAGCCGTCAATGAGACACTCTCCGCGGAATTCGAGTTGCAACGTGGTGTCCCTCGTGTTTGGGCCCCTTATTATTTACTCTGTATTCGAGCAAACTCTTCGAGATCATCAAACATCATTTTCCTACGGTTCATTGTTACGCTGACGACACGCAGGTATACATCTCATTCTGCCCAAACGACAGGCTCGATCAACTTAATGTTGGAGAGTTACTGGAAAGTTGTATTACTGATATTTGTTCTTGGATGTTGCGTGACAATCTTAAATTAAATGACGAAAAAACTGAACTTCTTATAATAGGTACACCGCAAAAACTTGAGAAGGTAGTTATCACTCATATTCGCGTAGGTAACACCAACATTCACCCTGTGGCTGTCGCTAGGAACCTTCGCTCGTGGTTAGATGCCAATGTCTCTATGACGGAACATATTTCGAAAAGTTGCAGTTCATCATTCCACTATTTGAATAACTTAAGTCGGATTCGGAAGTATCTCTCAAAGAAGTCAGCAAAGTCACTTATTCATGCTTTCATAACAATTCGCCGTGACTAATGTAACAGTTTTTTTTATATGTTCTGCCAACCTGCTCATTGATCAAATTACAACGTGTGCAGGATGCCTGCATGTGCTAGACTGATATTTGCTGAGGGTAGATTGTCGCATAACACCGTTCCTCATTAAGTTGCATTGGTTACCGATTCACTCTAGAATTGTATTCAAGATTCTTCTGTTAACTTTTAAGATCTTGCATGGCACAGCTCCCACTTACTTGGAGTCACTAACATCTCTGAAGCCTCAGTCATGCTATAACCTGAGACGTTCTAGTGACAATCCCTTGCTTAAGCAATCCGCATTTATATGTAAAGCGACCCTTGGTGACAGGTCGCTTACTTGAGCAGCACCAGAACTCTGGAATACATTGCCATTTGAAGTCAGAGACTGCAAGTCGCTGGACATTTTTAAATCAAAGGTAAAACCCACCTTTTTCGTTTAGCAGTTTTGTCATAACCTGCAGCGCAATATCATAGTAGCATTTATTTAGCACAGTAGTATTATTAGGCAGTATTAGTATTAGTATTACTAGAAGCATTCGGGTTTTTTTTATTATTACTTTGTTTATATTAGTATTAGTTATTGCGAAGGGCATTTAAACATTGAATGGAATTTGCGCTATATAAATTCATTATCATGATTATTATTATTATGAATAATTGAGAATTGTTAAGGATTGCAAGAATCCGTGTTTAGCTATATTTAGACAGAGATGCCTTCAATTCTATGATTCCATATTTTGGCAAACAATTTTCCGTGCTTCTAACTGGACGGCTAAAAACAAGGCCCTAGCGAGGTTACAAACAAATAAGGAGAATTTAGGCGCTTCAGAGTTATATACTTCTGTAATTTTTACAGCAACTACGATTTTGAGAAGTGATTCAGTAGAAGCGTTTCAATAGTTCCCTTGTCAACGGAGCGGAAAAACGTATCACTCACACATCACTTTTGGTCGTGTAAACGCCTTGATAAAGTGATTCTGGGGCCATCCACTTTACAGGAAGTTTTTTGGACTTCGTTGAGCTGTTCACATCTTCATAGATTTGTCTCATCAACCCAAAGTCTGACACTTTAATCTGGTTGTCATGGCCAACAAGAATATTACGGGCAGCAAGGTCTCTGTGAACAAGATTGTTTTCGGCGAGATAATTCTAATAACAAATAAGCAACGAAAAAACGATTAAAATGATCTCAAAACATAATAACGGGGGTACGCCGAACAAACTAAGTAGTTAAGTATAGATGAAAAAATACAAATGAAAAGTAAATATCGGCACTGATCTGATCCAGCCAAAACTGGGTCGACTGAAAAGAAAATTTTTTTTCCATATAAGCCATTTTAATGTACTCATATCTAGAAAAATAGCCAATATATCTATCCCATCTATTTCATGTTTATAAAATATTGACTTTTGAATTCCTCTTTCCAAGTTTTACTCAGAACCAGAATCCCAGCAACATTATCCAGAAAACAAAGATAATTACCATTCCCTTAGCGATTTGCCAGGCAAGTGAAAACAGTTGTTTGGTAGAAAAGTTCTCCTCTACGTCACAAGGATCCTCGTCTGACTCCTCTACGTTTTCAATTGAAAGTGGCATTGCAGAAGCTTGATTTTTTCCTAACGATGCCGATGGCCTGGTTAGAAGTTCTTTGTCAGTTACTTTGAATTCCTCATCCTAATTAAATTGATAAAAAGAAACTATCAAATTTTTGGTTTAGCTTGAAACAGGACAGCTCTCAAGTAATTACTTTCCTTGTTAGTAAATAAGTAACTAACGGATTAAAAGATAAAAATAACATAATTTGCTTGAGCCAGACAAGAGCCACGGAATATACAAGTATTATCTATTGAAAGTAACTTCAAAGTGACCAGTTTAGAGCTAGATAAAATTTACTTTGGGTCCACGGTACTGTTTTCAAGTCTACCATGAAAATCCACGCCCACAGTTTGATGTTTACCCAGAAAGCCTCAGTCACCTGCTGATACACGCCCTACTGACTAAAAACAACAAACACACCATTTTACTAGACGATTCCTTATATCAGCCATCGTTCTGGAAGTCACAAGCCCGCAACTGAAAATAACTCAAGAGAATGAAAACAAGACGCTGAAACGTAAATCCAAGACAGCGCAGAAAAGGTACACCATCGACGAAACACATTAGTGGCACAGGAACACCAAGATCACGTTGCGTCCTTCTAACGTGAAACATAAGCAAAATAAGGCGCCCTAGCGGCAAATTCTTCTTTATTAGTGAATAATTAATTATGGTGTTTTTGTTTTCGTCTTACATCTACTTCGGTGGAAGTCGATGGAATCACTTCAAGAACGGCATCTTTGTTGCTTTGTTGCGGACACACTGCAATGTCTTCTTGGTCTTGGTGTATAGAATGTTGATCCTCCTTAACTTCATACTCATCAGCCAAACTTTGCTAAATGATTAAAGAAAATGGAGTTCACATTTACATGTAGAAAAAATGTAACGCTATTGCTGGTTTTCACTGTCATGCTATTAAAAATTAAAATCAAAACCGTTTAATAGGTAAAGTCTAGAATCTGGGAAATGAAAGAAGGTAAATATACAAAGGCCCTCGGCAAGATTCAGTCGGTGCAATTTTTCAAGCGCGAGAAATTCGGAGAATTTTTTTACCTACATTTATAGAGCTTTATGTGGAGACGCAATGTTGGTGCCCATCCGGATGGTCACTAACATGGCGGCCGGAAACCAACAAAAACATGTGTCACGGAGTTGTGCTACTTAAGGGTCAATTCATCTCTTGAGGAACTCATTAACATTGACATTAATACGATGACCATTCAGATAGCAAAATCCCCCCAACAGAGTCATTTTTTCAGCCCCCATGGCAGCTCTCTCGTCCGCCATGTAAATAGTCTGCGAGCAAGCTCTCCGGGGCGCTCTGGCGGCTAAGCGGGAAAAGGAAGGAGAGCTTGGAGCTACGTCTCTAGAAAATAAATAAGTCGATGCGAAATGCTGATTGGCGGAGATAACATTAGTAATGAGGCCATTACCCTTGGCACTTGTTTTTCAATGTTTGTTTACAATCGCGCGTTACATTACACCCTTCGTTACGTGAGAAAAGGAAACGTGTAAGGCTTAGGCCCCCTCCACACGAATCCGGATATTTTTGAAACCGCACGCTTTATAATACGAATCGGCCTTGCATCTACACGAAAACGGTAAATCCGCTCACCGAGACCGCATTGAAACCCCTTTACAGAGTGGAATTTTTTGCTAATTCGTCGGGTTTGGCGAGTTCGTAAAGACGACTGAAACCGGATATTTTTTAATCAGCTATGTCATAAACTCGGGTCCAGGCTTAAATGGGAACTTGAAAAATTTAAAGGGGAGGCCAAAACCCTCTGTCTACTTTCGCTCCGGACGAATGAATCGGCCTTTACCTAGTTATTTCGCTCTAACACTCCCACTTGAGAAGTGTATGAAATGTTACCCTAAAGCACTTGAACAAGGAAGCATATACGGCCAGTGAAATCACACCGCTGGCCCGAGTGCAGTTGCAATTGCAAACCGCAGTAGCGCGTATTCGTGTGAATGCGTGAAACCGGATACACCACTCCGAATTTATGTTGACGCAAAAATGAAGTATTCGGTTTCACCGTATCCGGATTCGTGTTGTTGTGGCCCTAGACACTTCCTTCTTACATCAGACAGATCGTGAGTGGCCGAAGCCATGTCCTGTTCAACGTCATCCTGGAGCAATGAGGCCATTTCCATGGTTACTCGTGTCTTCTTTTCCTTTGCCTTAGTCGAAATTTTGCTTTCCTGTCCTTTCTGTGCGTGAAGGGAAGACAGATTAATCCTCCCGTCCTTTCGATGAAAGGGTTTGTCAGGAAGAACATGACTAAAAGCGGTTGTTTCTTGGTGTTTCGGATGGGTGCATTCATCAAATGACGTAATACAAAGATTGACAGCAACACCATAAAACATCTTAAAGCAGTCATGCTTGTTGAGCCTCAAGTTAAGTACCCAGAATCTCAGCAAAAACGGGACTGTGCCACTGGGAGGAAAATTCTCCCGGGTTTTTGAAAAGTGCGCGAAAGTAATATTTAAATTAGGGACTGGTCCTTATTTATCGCCTGGGGGGAAGGGGGGGAAGGATTTGGGGCTAGACAAGGTGAAATTTAGCCGATCCCCCCTTTGAATGTTACTTCACTGAAGTGATCCCCCCAAATAACTTTTGATGACTTTCGCGATTCCCCCCGTCTCGCCATGTCTTCATTTTCCAAGCAAATTTGATTGGTGCTTTCTCTGAATCCTTCCAAAGTTTTCAGCGATCCCCCCTTTTGGGTTCTCAGTTACAACTGCTCCTTCCTAAAATCCTTCCCCCCCCCCCCGGCGGTAAATAATGATGACCGGCGGTCCCTTAGATCACAAAATATACATGTAGATTTATTTGCCATACCTGCAAAAAAGATTTATCGAATGCATGCGTTGGTGCTTCGATTGATCGTATTCTGGTATAGGCGTGACCCAGAAAGATTGCTCTAAGAAGCTTTCATCGTAACCAGTAATAAAGCTACATTAACATACAACTGAAAATTCTTCGGCATCAGACAGATCGTGAGTGGTATTGTGGATGGAGTCAATGGCTCAGCAAGTGATTCCTAGAGTTTTTTTCGTTAGCTTATTCTGGAGCACGGTCAATAGAATAATTTAAAGAAAGAGATGTCGAATTTTTCTTTCGCGGAAAATTGTTGCTTATTTTTCAGCAAGTTTCCACATTGTCTGCATGCGTTATCCACGTTCAATATAATTAAATTTAAGAAAAAAAAAAGACGTTGTTAAGTATCTCTTTTCTACAAGATGGCCTTGAGAAGTCGACACCAGATCCTGTCTGACATCATCATTGCTTTCTTTTGATAACGATAAATGAATTTAAGAAAAATAAAATGAAATATTTGAGTATTTCCTTCATACAAGATGGCCTTGAAGAGTCGACGCCAGTTCCTGTCGGACCTCATCATTAATGATTTCTTCTGATAACAAAGTCAATTCCATGTTCTCGTTCGTCTGCTGCTCCTGCTTTGTCCGATCTTTAGCGGGTTTACTTTCCTTTGTAAAAAACAAACCAAAACAAAAACCGTAATTTATTGGTCCAGTACTGGCCATTTTCTCCGTTTAACCATTATCATTCTTTAATGTAATATCAGTCGTGGAATCTTGTATTCTGTCCGTTCAAGTATACCGCAAATTTCCACTCTGTTGTTACTCTATGCAATGGTCATTTAGAATTTCGGTGAATTAAAGACTAAAGTTCAACAACAACCAGATGACCTACTGCTGCCAGGACAAGAAGATAGGGGAGAATTTTAAAATCTAGGTAAAACGTCCTTAGTCTAAATAAATAAATTTGACGATTAACTCATGATTACGTTTTGTGGTATAAGAAACACTTGTGAAGGCACAACCACAACGACAAACCAGTGAGGCAGCCGGATCTTTAGTAGACTTGGATCAGTAAAATCTTCAATACCAAATCTAGCTTTGTGGTAGGCCTTCTTGATTAACAACCCTCTCTCTGATTTTCTTAAATGTCTTTATAGTTAACTAATTCTTTCATGAAGAGGCGCTTCTCGGTTCCCGGATCATTAAATAAAGAGACAACTTTTGCATATTACACCTGACTAGCGCAATCGATAAAAACCGATATCAGAAAATCAATTGTCAGCGCTATCGTTTTTAACTATTTTAACGATATTATCGATTGCCTCCCAGGTTCAAAATCCAATAATGCATTATTTTACAGCAAATTATATTAGCAATATGCAGATGTTTTCTGTTTTAAATGATGATTTTCTCTCACATTTTTGTTTTATGGTCATGCTACTTCTCTTTCCATTTAGTTGCGGAGTTCATTATCTACTTTGTTTTGCATATTTACAGAACGATTTAAATGATCCTTTCCAATATGCTTTTTGAAGAAGCAATTTAAGGGTCTTACTGAAAAACTGTACACTGAACAGTATCCTCACCACTTGAACTATACATTGTAGGGTTCAACTTGAACAGTTTCCAGTGCAAGCAAGCTGAATCAGTTGCTTATAACTCTTTTTTATCCTGTCGACTGGCCGAAAATGTTTCGTTAGAATATTGAGTGTAATTTGTGAAATAAATTTCGCTACAAATTTAACCGTCCAAAGCTACATAAATAATGTACGTATGTTCGGAAACAACATTCTTTGCCGGTGTTAACCTAATTAAGTAAGCGGCCGATTAAAATCGACAACTTCGATAAAAATCGATTAAAGTCGATAATTATCGATTAGCAACAAGTTTTTCCTCGATAGATTTTTATCGATTTTCAATTTAATCAATCGCTCTTTACCGAGACTTATCCATCATTATCGATTATCGACTCTATCGATTGCACTAGTCGGGATTACAAGGATTACACGAGAATTCCTTTCATGAGCTACAGGCCTCGTTTAAGTTGAGTTAAGCAGTTTTTACATATATAGTAGAAAAAAACGTCATCTAAAATCTTTTAGCCCTCCTGGCTGACTTCTTTCATACTTTGTCACCGAGATGATAAGAAGTCGACGCTGTGTCCTCGCTGTTATCTTGTAGTAATGGCGTTATTTCCATGTTCAATTGTATTTTCTCCGCTTGCTTTATCTGTTTCTTAGCAAGTTTACTGACCTGTGTGGAAATGAATAAATTCAGGAATCTAAGGGATATTCAAAAAGTCTTGCTAAGATTCAGGTCTGTGCAGTTTTTTCGTTTGCGAGGTATTCGGAGAAGTGTGTTACATAAATTTATAGAGCTTTGTTTAGAGAGGCCAGCCATGTTGGCGTCCCTCTGAGGAACGCAGATATGACAGAAACATTGCCATAAAGCGAGTACTCATCTCTAGAGAGCTCATAAACATTAAACTTAATACTTATTCAAAAAACAGGGACTGTTCAGGTGGCAAAATCTAAAAAAAAAAAGATATGTCACTCTTTATTTTGAAATATGATAACGTTACGTGCAAACCATTCAACAACAATCGGATGGGTAGATTAGATAGCTAGGTCAACCAGACATAAAACAAACAAGCACTCTGGGCCCGGTTCCTGAAAGGCTGATTAGCGCTAATCCAGGATTAAGATTTTGTTCTACTTTTTGTATTTACCTTCCTATGCATTTCTTAGAGAAACATTTTGTGTAAATCATTACTGTGTCTCAGAGTAAAAGCTCAACAGTATTTTGTAAGCTTGAGTTACATTCTCTTAGCAAGAAAACCGCGCTTAAAATTTCGCTTAATCCTGGGTTAAACTTGACCATCTTTCTAGGAACCGGGCCCTGGATAATAAATGTTTTAGGACAGAGTTAGTATGGAAAAGTTAAACTACAGTATACAAGCCTACTTGATCTCTGGTCTCTCCCTGATCTTTCAGAACCTCTTTGTCAGCATAAGATCTCTCGGTAGCTTGAAGTTCTTTGATCTAAACATCAAGCAAGTAACAAAAATATAATTATTATTGTTAGTAATCATTAAATGCCTTTATAACTTTCAAGCAACTGCAGTTGCTTAAATAAGTTGTACAAAATGTTCTGACGGTACCAAAATATATTCGTAATGTTGTCTCCCTACATCTGTTTCTTGATAATTTCGTTATATACTAATTGTATAATTGGTCATGTCCATACCTTTTTCCTTCTGCGGCGTAGCCACGTCAGCAGGTCACCACACGGAACGTATTCTATAACCAGGAACATTTTCTCCTGAAGCGTGCAGCATCCAACCATGGATACAACGTTCTTATGTGAACCCAACAGCTTCATCTGTTCAATCTCAAACGTGAACTCTGCTTTCTGTGCTTCAGATGGATTATCTAAAGATAATTAAATAAAATGACATTGATTTTATTATCGTTATTTTTCAGCATTATTCAGTGCAATATGTTTCATTTGAAAAACATATTCGTCCATTTTTACCGCTTCCCACTCATCCTATAATGCACAAGGATATACACAGATGCATTCTACCGTGTAATAGAATATCGATAAATATTCAGACATTTGTTAATATTTTTATTTTACCACTGCACCCTCCAAGCAGCCCCGGGAGGTACTCCTGGAAAATTCGGGTGGTGGTGTGATGTGACTATGTGGTTTCCCTCACTACCTAAACCGCTGTTCATAAAAGGCGAATGAAATAAAAACAATAAATACATAGATAAATGAATAAATAAATAATAAACCAACAATAAAATAGAATAAAATAAATACAGACCTGGTACAAGGCAGAGCAAAACCGAATCCTGTTTCACGTTTAATCTGTTTTTCCAAAATCGTGGAAATCTTTTCCCAATTTCACACGCAAAGGGGTTAAAAACCATGTCCTTTGGCCCCGCTCACACTTGTATAGCTTCTAATAAGAGAAAACCCCCTGGGTCTAGACGTGAGCATGGTGATTTCGTAGCTCAGTTTCATAATTTCTTCCCCTTAGTTTCTCCACATTATCCAGGGGCACCCAACGACAATTTTCGGAAAAATATCTGTTCGGAAGACGATTTGAGATCTAGAATTTTCGGAACATTTGTTGTAAAATTTCTTGCTTGCCTGCCTCTCCTAGGATTTTCGAACTTACAAAAAATGGTATAATTGCCTATTTTTAACGGATTTTTACCCTGAAAAGGTCACCTAGAATTTTCGGGAGCCTTTTTTCTGGCTGAAATTTTCGAAAAGGCGAGTTTTGATCCCTATAATTTTCGGATCACTAGACTTTCAGCTAGGAAATCCGAACAGATGAAAAATTTTTAGGGGATAAAAATATGCCTTTATCTACCGTTAAAATACTAAAATACGTTTAACAATGCTATGTTTAAGTGGTTTTGAACTATATTCTCGTTGGGTGCCCCTGATTATCAAATGACTTGCGGTGTAACCTGGGCAACATGGATCGCAAAAAGGGGAGACCAAATCATCAAATGCATCCGATCCTTCAGAAAGAGTTGTCATACATGTATTGACTAGAGGCTGCATTTTTTAAACTTATTTTCATTATTGGCTTTAATTCAGGCTCTGTAGATCAATTTACTTTTTTTTCGGTTTTGGGGAAATGTAAATTCGTAAGAGATGCATTTGTTTAGAGCTAATAGGCTTAAACCTACTTTTTGGAACTTAACAGCCTTTATTATTTTTTCACACTTACATAGTGAACAAAGAAACCACAAATTACTTGCACTCATTCCAACTTTGCCGTGCTCTCACCACCAACGAGAGACAATCCCGATTTTAAAAATGGAATGTCTCTGGGTGGTGTAATTTGTTTTACCATGCGATCACGTCTTCGAAAAGAATCGAGTTTTGTTTTTTTCTGAGATCTTAAAGTTCCCAAAGAGTTACTTAAATCCATAAGGATTCTTACAACAATATGAAGAGGACTGAAAGGCAGTTAAGACTTTATGCCTTTGTCTGTGGAGATAACAGTCAGTATTTCTTACCATGTAAAACTTTGACAGCCACCACCTGTGGTGCCTTCGGCTTCATGGATGATACAGGCCATTTTGAAGTCTCAGTGACCAACGCCTCCATCTCATCACTCTTACTAAAGGTTGCTTTATAAACAACACCAAATTCTCCTCTCCCCAGCTCTTCCTCAAAGTCTATTTGCTCAGGCAGAATTTCCCACTTGTCAGGAGGAGTGATCTCGTCTTGTGAATAAGGTGACCTAGAAAAAGGGGAAAAAAAATGCTGGATTATTACGCTGAGCACAATATCATGAGTAACATATACTCGCATATCTGTAAACTTTACCAACAACAAAAATTATTGCACCTGGCTACTGGTGCATCGCGGGAGGATAATGGCCGAAGCTGAGATGTTCTCCTCGTGAAAAAAAAAGCTCGATCAGAATAGCCGAGTGGGGATAAAATAAAATTTTTTTTTTTTTAAAGTACGATTCAGTCAAGGGCACCATCCTTTACAAACAATGACTGCAAAAAAATTTATTCAATTCTAATTCACTTCAGGCGTATCTAAAAACAAAATTCGTCTTCATCAGACTATTCTTTGGATTTTTCCTTTTTTTTTCCATGCATCTTTCGACAATGAAAACGTTCTTTGATTATTTTTCATAAGAATTGCAAATAAAGTAATGGTTTTGACTTCTAGTTAATGTTTTCTGTCATCTTGGCAGGTGCACTACGTCGGGTTTGTTGACACGTGATGTAATTTAGCCAATAACGTAACGCGGAGCGAAGATTAATCGCTACGTTTAGATAAAAAGAGAAAACAAAAGCTTTCTTAGTGTTAGATTTATTTCCGTGTCTATGCAGCCAGCATAGCTGGAGGTTCTTTGGTGTCTCCTTTTATTTTGTGGTTTGCAAAGTAAGAGTTACAGCCGCGCGAACACGGCTGAACCGAGTTCGAAACAGAAAACGATGGGGGAGGGGACGAAGGGAGAGAATAATTACCAGGAAAGCGCTAATAAAAAAAACATTAAACGATCGTAAACAAGAAAACTTTGGCGCGACATTTGGTCGGCTGACGTCAGACCTCAAAACATGTCACACCATCCTTTCAAAAAAACTGGAAGGGGCGTTTTAAAAATCTCAAGGGGTTGAGTATAGGATGTTTTTCTTATTTACTTCTCCGCTCGCCTCCTTCCCTATCATTTCTTTTTTGTCCTTGGTTCAGCTGTTAGCGCGGATGAATCTCTTACTTTACCAACCACTGAAAAGAAAAAAGAAGCAAACAAAAAACCGCCAGCTACGCATTAGCAGAGCTCCACAAACCTTTCAATACTCTTTGCCTTTCTTTTTCGGTAGCACCAGACGAAAATAGCGACCGACAACAGCAAAATAGCGGACGTGACACCAAGTGAAATGTAAATAACTTTGTTGGGAGTCGTGGTTTCTATGACTGCAAGCAAAATAAATATATCAAACTGTGATCAAAGGTACTGTACTATAAATGGAAGTGGGAAAGTTTTTTCAAATAATATGCGGTCAGATTAAAAGGGTTACAGACATGTTAGAGCTTATATAGAGTTAAAACCTCTTTTCTTACTACACTGTCACTTGTTGACAGTGGAACTCGTCTACTACGCTTCGGCGAGGACAAAAGCGGGTCTTCGCTGGCTAACTGAGCTTGTACACTCGTCTCGTTTGTAATTGTAAGATCCAGTAGTGATGAGAAGGCGTTTACACGAAAAAAGGAACTTGTGCAACCACAAAGTATGGCAAAAACACCTAATGAAATGAGTCCGTTACCTTAAAATTGGGTAAACACAGATTAAAATAGTCGAAGACTTACCGTGTATCACGAAGAACCCGCTGTGCCATCACTGAACCCCGGGGGGGGGGCACTTGGGTATTTTTTGGGTGGGTATGTGCCGCCCGGGACTCCAAATTGGCACCCCGTTCTAGAAAAAATTTCCCCTAAAATTGATACCCCGTTCTAGAAATGGGTCAATTTTTTCTACCCCGTTCTAGAATTCGCCCTAAAACTGATACTCCGTTCTAGGGTGCAACAAGAGTACAACGGTTTGCTTGTTAACGCATTGAACCGTATTTTTAAAAGCAATCTGTCCTTGAATACTTTCAAATGGCTGCTTACAAAAGTGGAGCTTTCGTGCATTCGAAATATTATACCCCGTTCTAGAAAACGCCTCTGAAATGGATACCCCATTCTAAATCAGGAGCTTCAAAATCACGACCCCTTTGGGCGGCACATACCCGTATAGGTAACGTATGGGAGTACCCCCCGGGCACTGAACAACATTTGAAACACACCTACCTTGATCCTGCCGTAGCTGAGATTGGCCGAAGACTTACAAGTTGCGAAATACAAGCATTATAATCAAAAGAGGTAACAATTAAAAAGAAGAAAGAAAAAAAATTCAGTAGGAGTACACCATATTTGCTTTACGATCAGTTTTCTCCTCATCATCATCATGATTTAAAATTTTGAACCATCCTGTCTCTGTTTTGCAACAATGTCAAAATCTTAGAGTGCGCGTAAATTAATAAATTTTTGCGTTTGTATAACCATGACACTTACCATTATTGCAAAGATCTCCCTCACAACATTGCAAATGTTGGTCATCAAACTGTCTGCATTGATCAGCGGATATACATCCTTGAATGGTGACTTGTTTGTTATCCTCCGTTTTCTTGTCAAATTTGAAACAAAGGTTTTCTGGGAATGAGCACTTGATTTTGATGGGAACCGATGAATCGTTGTTTGGGTTCTGATAACAATTAATACTGCCTGTGGAAAAATGCAGGATAACTGAGAGGGTAGTCTCCTTTTTATGTGGGTGTTTTAGATACAGAACTTAAAATCTGACAAGGTCACTCCGCTAAGCGAAAGAAAAAGGTATGAGACAAATAATGCCATCAAAGTAGCCAAGCGGCAGTATTTCAGAGATAATCTGGAAATGAGCAAAGGAAACGCGCGCAAAAGATGGGGTAACATCGCGCAAATAAGGAAAAAATCGAAACATCGAAAATTAATTCGGCAAACGATTTGGTTGAACCTATCATCAATTGTTTTCACACCTATCGGCCCTGACCTGACAACGGAGATACCCAAAACAAATTTCAAACAGTTGTGTTATCTTCGTCTCGTTTCCCTAGCCCTAAACGTCAAAACGATTTGAAAGTTATTGAGTGAAATATTTGTAAACGAAAGGAAAGCGTAAGTTATCGAAAGTGGCCAGTGGTATTGTTTGGCCTTCATTATCAAGCATTAAGAACAGATAGAAACTGGGATTTCCCAAGCAAATGGAAGGCGGCCAAATAAAGTAACCCCTGTCTTTAATAAATTTAGTTAGCCATTCCTATGGCTAACTCGTGGATTAATTATTTTAGGAATAAAAGTTGATAATGAACTGGCAATTAGTCTAGCGGTGTATTTTAAGTCTGTCAAAAAATGAAAATATTTTTTAAGAAAAAAAACAAAACCAAACAAAACGACCAAAAAAAAAATTTCTCTAGCGGGAGTCAAGCCTCCTACCTTCGACGTGCAAGGTCAAGGCGTTATCTATTGCGCAACGACAACTAATTTTAAACAAAATCGTTCAATTACTTATCCTTAACATTTTTGCCCATAAAATCCTCCGGTAGACGCTGGTACAGCCTTTATGAGGAATTGAAAAATAAAGTCGAGGAAAACAAGCATGGTTTTGACATGCTTTGACGGTAAAAGCCGTACTTTAACTCATGGACCTTAGGTGTCTCGCAAAACCGTCGTGAAGACTCCTGCTGGCGGAATTGTACAGTTTGCCGTCCGCTGCGTTATTTGTCAGGAGTAGTCAACGAGAAAAAATTCGAAAGTGATTAGATATCGCCTCCAGTAATATTTTGACAGTCACTAAGTGTTTTTTGGTTGATTAGTAACTTCTGTGGGAAAATTATATCCACTCCCCAAAGCCAGCTAGAGGTAGATGTTAAAATACAATATCAAGCCAGGGTCTTTACCTTAAGGGCTTTTCCCAGCTAGGATTTTTACCAAAAGTCATTTTCCCAGCCAGGATTGTCTATTCCTTCCTTTTTCAACGCAAAAAATAACTGATAATTAGCCAGCCAGGAAAAAGAAATTGAGCCATTTTCTCCAGGTGATAGGAAAAAATGGAGACAAGTATAGTGTTCTGAAACCTTTCCTTTGCCTGTGACCGCGGTACGCATTTAGTACGCGGGTTTTAATTTCTAATTTCTAATTACCGTGTTGTCTGCGTCATTTCGCGGGCTTTTCAAGCTCAATGGTCCGTAGGAATTAAAAATCTTCAGCTCATTTCAAATGCGAGCGAAGTTGGGAAAATTAAAGAGCTGGTCAGTCACCAGATTTGAATACTAAGACTAAAACTATGACTCCCTTACAACCTCTCGTTCCCAGGGTAAGAGAATGTCTGTAAAATATTTTGACTATTAAATTAAGTTCGACGTCCGAAACAACCGTTGAACTTATATCATTTAACAGGTGTCAAGTTCGGTACATGAAAAGTTCGACGTTTGAATTGTGCCTATTAACTGTGTCTTCTTTTCTTCTTTGTTATCCGTCATTTCTTCGCGCAAAGCCCTTAAAGCTACTTGTGTGGGTCCAAATATGGCTTTCAGTCCTTAACTCGAGTAATGACACTAAACTGATCTACAATTTACCCGTACCCCTAAACAAGGCGTCGAGTATCCCCGTCTTTTTATATGAGGCATCAGTCCCCCCGGGCATTAACTAAACCTTTAGTAGAATTGGATCATATAAAATTTGTATTTACTTATAGTTGAGGCGGCTGGCCTTTCACAAACATAGTGCATATAGAGACCGTCACAGTTGTCGGGCTCTTCAATCGTTCCAGTGTGTGTCTTCATGCGTCTACATTTTGATGAGTTCCCGGTGTTGTCAACCCACACGTACTTAAATATGGACACAGACAAGACATTAACAAATCTAGTTAAGTACAAACAAAACCCCCATATTAAATGGGCGTTCATTCAGGTCTGCCTGAGCCGGGGATGAATAGGCAAGTTAGCCTTTTGAAATAAGAAATGATTGGCATTAGTTTGAAGTCATCAATTTTGCCCTAAGTGAGAATTAAATAAATTACTGGGGTTTTAAATACTTTTATTTATAAACAGTAATTTTCTGTCTCTTAAAACTTGCAAAGCAAATTAAAATCAGTTTTATTTCTGTCGGACCTTGCATATAAAGCTTTGTTACTATCCAAGTGAATGTGTCAATTTTACGGGTGATTTACAAATTGCACATTCCTTTCTTGCAAGGAGAGAATTTTCACACGCAGGAAGAGAATTATAACAAGTTGTAGCTTTTCCCGTGGGGACCGTGGGAGGAAATTGTTTCTGCAGCTCCCGCGAAGGTTAACAACATCATCGAATACTGTACAAAGATAATCATTCGGGTCGAGCCACATTAAGGCTATCTATAAGGGTGCTTTAAAACAGGAAAACTTGTCAAAAAGTTTTTATAGCCTCGTCACTAATCAAGGGGCGTTTGTTATTTTCGCATTATTCGAAAAATGCTGCAAATCACTGCCACCCACCTTTAAAAAAACGTCTTTCTTAGTAAGCCTAGATTGACAGACGGTGCACTATTACTAAACACTGCACAATAGAGAGAAGTGTCACGTCACCTTATCATGGTAGCAAAATTCCCGGATCTCAACAATCTTATAGAAGAAAAGTATTGGCCACTTTAGAAAATACCGTAATAATCTTTTTGTCCCTCAAAAAAACGCTTTGCATAGCCATTGTAGTTTCAGTTTCTTTTGCGACGATTCTAAATCCCAAGAGAAACTGAAAACAATGGTTATGCAACATTTTGGGGGAGACAAAAGGATTGTTATGGTATTTTCTAAATTGGCGAATGGGCTACTATCTGTTTTGTTCCTGAGATCAGAACAATCGTGCATATGAGAATATTCAAACAACTCAGCAAGTTAAAATTGCCTTATTTGCGCGAACACAAGGTTTGTTGAGATTTAGAAATTTTGCTTCCGTAGCAACGTGACGTAGTGACTTCTCTCTATTCTTTACACAACAAGAAGATATGAGTAAGCATGTCTTTACGCTTGATTTTAACACCTGGTGATGCCAACAGTAAATAACTCGATCGTACTTACATCTATTCCCTCTTTCTTTACACCAGAAATTTCCAGGAAACGAATCAAAAATAGGTGCTGATAGTAATTATCTATCTTCACCAGACCTCCTCCAAAGTCAAAACATGCCTTTTGAGCATCTTTCCATGTACTTTTTTTATAAATTTCTTTGTAGCAAGACGATCCACTGAGATGCCAATCGCTAGAACAAGCCAGTGGACCTAATTTAAAGAACAGTTAGTAGTACATTAAACCAAGAAAGTTAATCTGATTGGTGACAAATAGGCCATTTTACAGTTATGGATGGAAGCGAGGGTGAGGGTGACCTTGTTTTGATACAAACCTTCTTTGCTTTGTTATGGAAATTGTTCTTGAAAAATACTCGTGAGCATAAGAATAACTTGATTTACATAATAAAGCAGGCAGGTTTGTATCAAAACAAGCTCACCCTCAGCCTCGCTTCCATCCATAACTGTAAAATGGCCTATTGGCGAGAAATTTCAGCGATAATTTTATAATTTCACATGTGAAATTATAAAATTACCTTGGCAACCTTTCGTACGTCTCAGTGCTAAGATGGCGGCAAAGTTTTTAAATGTTAGAAATGAAGATGTCAGGGCATCAAAAGACGGTTAAGAAAACCTGAACACACGAAAGAGCACATCAAGAAGGATTCTATCAGGAATTTTGTCGAAGAAGTCTGAAACTTATAAACTTAAGGAACATTTTGAGCTCTATTAAGTTCTCAGAGCGTGGATTTCTCGTTCGATAATCTTGTGATAAACATGTAAAAAACCTACGATTGTGAGCGTAATTCGTCAGTGGGGTCACCCATGATATTAATCAGAGGTAATCAAATGCTATACTCGTGAAATTAGGTGCTAATTTCCCTCGCCCACATTAGTAGGGTTTGGACAATAGTGTAACACCCGTGAAATTATGGCATTTGATTGACACATACATGTACTAATCCGACAAGAGGGAAAACGTAAGCAGTGAACCAATTAAAACTCAAGGTAACTTTGGCGATAAGTGTAGAAAAAAAAAACGAAAGCAAAACAAGTCCGTAGGGAGAAGTCACCAAAAAAGATAATAAGGGAACTCGTCCTACCTTTTGGGGCTTAATGTTTGATTTGTGGATTGATACCACTTAGTCGCCGGCTCTTATCTAAAATATGAACATATTAGATCTTGCCATAAGAGCTGTTTTGGTACCTTTTAGAAGCCTGTCGAGGTGTCTCGCTGAAAATTATAGGATGTATTTTGGTTACTCAACCGTTTTTTCCGTACAGTACCTCACAGGAGGGGTTAAAATGAATTTGAGCCACACACAGATGCTATATTCTGTTATATTTTAGGGGTGTATTTTGAAAATTTCGACGAGCACCTCCAAATTTTTATAGAGACGAACCCCCCGCCCCCCTTCCCCCGGAACAAGTCAAAGTTTAAGTTTCATCTTTATTTGGCAAATCTGCTCAAAACTGACCATATATATGCAAAACTACAAATTAAAAACTGATCCTTACATCAAGAAGACTGAGAGAATACAGAGATAAAATAAAAAGGAATCTCAAAATCTATTTGTATCCTTATATTTGTTTACAGAAGGTCCGGTGCTCCTCACTGGTTTGTAGCTGTAGTTTATGAGATGTTTTTAACTCAAAAACACAACCCCGCCTATCCTTAATTTTTTTCTTACCAAGTTAGGAACAACTTACCTTTCTCCCTTTCACAGATGAAATATTTCTTTTTCTTGCAACATTCGGTGAGGCTCAAATCATTTCTGAAGATTTCGCCACATTTGTCTTCACGTACAGTAATCTTCATACATAACCAACGCGACTCGACGGAAAAAGAACAATTAAAAGGTTGTCCATTGCTCCATAGATATTCATTTTTCTGGAAGTAATAAACCAGCCCAATCCAAGCTGAACTGTCGGTTATCTTGGGAGAAATGCTACGAACAAAATCCATTTCCTTTTTATTCGCCACACTTACAAGGTATCCTCCAAACCCGTAACACACGCTTAAAGCTCTCGACCAACTGAATTCCCGCGAATAACCAAAACTGTCCATAACCTTATAGCACGAGTTTTCAAATTCTATCCAGTCTTGAGGACATGTGAGGTGTCGGCCTTATAAAGAAAAGCAATGAAAATTACGTAAGAATGGAAGGGACCAACTCCCGGAAGATGTCCGTTGAGATGACACTAATTAATAATAATAATAATAATTCAGGTGGCATTTATGTTCAAATGCAAGCTAATGCAGCTGTTTTTTATGAAGCTACAATTAGGACCACAAACAGTCATAATACGTCGAATAAAGTTTCACTGCTTTATCAGAACTCTGCCAATAGCATGTAATAAGACTGCAAGAAAGAGACAGAGGACATTACATTGCCGCGAAGAGATACGGAATTTCTCTTCGAGTGTTGAAAAATATTCCACCAGTGAGCACAGCAAACGAGTGAAATATTTTTTAACACGAGAGGAGAAATTTTGTATCTCCAAGCGGCCATGTAATTTTCTATTTATTACATAAACACCGATGAAATGCCAAACCATTTCCCTTAAATACTTTTTTGCTGCGAAAGGCGCGATTTATTATGTAGCCATAGCAACGGTGATCTTTTCGCATCTGAAAATAACGTGTGAAGATATCATGTTTTCGCGCGAAAGCTCACCTGGTATTTCATTGGTGTTTATATAATAAAATAAACTCTTAGAGCCTGTTTACATGGAGGTGGAGGACCCCAGGTAGATGAGGTAACCCGCTTAGGTGGGGTAACCCGCCTGTCCATATACTTCTCATTTTAATTTGATCACGTTTAATTACATGATAGGTGGGGTCACCCGCCACATGTTCTCTCACCTACCCGTGGTCCCCCACTTCCATGTAAACAGGCCCTAACACCTATCTTGTTAAAAACATGCAAGGTTCTTAAGTATTACAGCTTCGATCTTAATTGGTTTAGCTTTTGACTATTTTGGGAGACCAGTAGCGGCGAATAGTATCGCGGACGGATCCCATCAGGGCCAATCCGAGATAAACTTGACAACAAAAATTCTTAGAGATAAGTAGGAGCCTGTTAATCTCACCCTCTTCCCGACCTTTTCATGGCATTGCTGGTTTTCACATGACGTCATCAAACTAATCAATTATCTATCCGCCTGAGTTTTTACTTTTATGACGTATTAGTACGCGTAACTTTCACGAGTATACCATTTGATTACCTGTTATTATGGGTGACGATTTACGCTCACAATGGTTGGTTTTTGTCATGTTTATCAAACTGATTATCGGTCGAGAACTCTGCGCACTGAAAACTTTAGAGCTTAAATTTTGGCTTAAGTTCATAATTTTCAGAATTTTTTAACAAAAAACCTGTTGTCATGTGTTAAGGTTTTCTAAAGCGTCTTGTAATGCCCTGGCATCGTCGTTCATTCGTCATTCCTCGACGGATAACACCCTCCTCGATCTCCATAATTCTTCGTAAGATACTCAGCCTCATTCATTAACTGTTAATTAATTTTGTAATTAAAAAACCTTTTTACCGGTTTCATCGACCTTTCACCGTCATGCGTTACCAAAGCTTAAAACTGAATTTAATTTTTTATTATTATTATATTTTACAGAATGGTTTCAAACAGAGAAAGAATTCACAACTGTTTTTGAAGAAATGTCCCCGCAAGAGCTAAACAAATCCCTTCAAGCTTTATCTGTAAAAACTGCAAAACCGAATTTCAACGGGAACAGCTTTTTTGTTACATTAAGGCTCAGTCAATTCCCAGCGTGCCCATCCCCCCGCCCCGGGCATTTGTCGGGCATTTGTCACTTTGTTTTGGAAAAGCTGCAAATGCCCCACGATGGGGCTCAAAAATATAGTGCAAATTCCTCACCCTGGGACAACACCAAAATTGTATTTTCCAGTAAATAAGCTGAAAATACCATTTTTATGGGAAATCTCTAATAGTCCGATCAAAACGTGTGAACCCCCTACGCAAATCGCCCCTAGCCGCTACTTATAATTATTGCAAAAAATAACACATCTATCTGATTAATATCAATGACAGAAATATAAACTAGAATTTTAATAATACCTTTCTTATTTTTCGAAGACGTGAATGATAAACAAACAACCGATGAGCTTATGTCAGCTTTCAAATATCTTGCAAAGTTTTTCTAGTTCTTTCTGGCCCAACCATTCACGTACAAAGAAAGCGTCTTTTCCTTTAAACTCTTCAAACGATGCATTTATTGTTTTTCCTCCATGTGCGAACTGATCATGATGGCGGGAATCAAACGGATGCAAAAACAGATTGTGGGATAGCGAAGTGATGGAGCGAGAACCACATATACCTCTTTAAAGTATAATTATTAAAAATATTTTTTATAGATATATCTAAACTTATTTAAATAAACGTATTTTTTTAAGTGAAATATTGAAAAAAGAACGACGTTAACCGCTTCTAAAAGAATTGACAAATGCCCTACCCCAGGGCACAGGTTTTCTGACAATTCCCCACCGCCGATACCACGCAACATGACAAATGCCCGACAAATGCCCAGGGGGGGATGGCCACGCTTAGAATTGACTGAGTCATTACGAAAGAAAACCGAAAAAACATTTTTCTCGAGCATGAGAGGGCGTGAAAAACATTATCCACCGTTTTAATACCTACTAAAAATCAATATTCAAACAATTTTTACTTCTGAAGAGTTTTCCTTTTGTGATACAGTGCCTTGAATTTCTAATAAGCTTTTGAGTGACGTGGTATTTACATGGCGGCCGAGAGAGCTGTCAGGTTAAAAAAAAAGTACCTTATTTGGGGAGATTTTGCTATCTAGACAGTTATTGTGTTAGAAAAGGTATCACTTTAATTGTTAAGAGTTTCTCGACGGATGAATTCACGTTTTCAAAGCAAAACTCAGTGACAGATGTTTGTGTTGAGTTCCGGCCGTCATGTTGGTGTTCATCCGAATGGGCACCAACATGGCGGCTCCACACAAAGCTCTTTAACTTTGGGTAAATCAATTCTCCAAGTATCTCTAAAACGAAAAATTGTGCTGACCTGAATCTTGGTGAAGATCTTAGGATATTTATCCCATTTTGTTTCCCAGATTCTGGAATATATCTATTGAACAGTTTTGATTTTTTTCTTTGATGGCGTGACAGTGAAAATACTTACCAGCCTGAGACATTGTTATCGCTAGGAGAAGTAACAAGAACAAGCCAATTTGGGTCATGATATATGCCAACAGTCCTAACAAGATAGAGAAAAAACTGTTATCCAACTGTTATCGCCAAAGAATGAGGTGCAGACGGTAAGGAATTTTATTATATGGCCAAATCCGCGAGCGGGGAAGATAAAGCGAATCCTGTGTTCTTACTGGCAACCCAAGCCATTCTTGCCCTCTCGGGATATCTCGCGTTGGTCCCGAGAGAAAAATGTTCTCGTTTTGGCCATGATAAATCCGTTGTTGACAAAGCTTATTCAGTCAAGATATCTGGATATTGGCCTCGTCCTTTTTTGCGGTTTTATCGACCTCGACTTCTTCTCGGTCCATAAAAAACGCGAAAAAATGGCCAATATCCAGCCATCTTGACCTCACGCTTGGTCAATAACGGATATCGAATGAATCGCGTTGAATCAAGCAGGAGCTAATGGGTTTCTGAATCAGTCAAAGTTTCCCGCAATTCTGGTTTTCTACCAATAATTAATGTGTTTGGTCCTTAATGATAGACGATTTTCGAAAACTCTCTCTCTTTTTTTTTTTTTTTTTTAATTTCAGAATATCAGCCAAGACATAACCATAACTTTAATCAACGATTATTAGTTCAGAATATCAACAATTACGCAGATTCGAAAAGAGTCTTATCCATCTCAACCGTCCACAATCTGCATAATTCATATCATACGGAGTAATATAAGCCAATTTACAAGTAATATAAATTTAAGTTAATGCAAACAACCATGAAAGGGAGGTCAGAGAAATTATATGAGTTACCCTTCTGAAATAAGAGGGTGGGAATGGGGTTAACCGACTAGCGACAAAGGGCTAAAAATATTACTGACTACCGACAAAACGAGTAAAAAATTACCGACTACCGACAGGAAAAATATTAACCGACCACCGACATGGGCTGACATTATCAATATTTGTTTCAGAAAAAAAAAGAGCATTCTGCATTTTTTTCCAGCCGTTAGGAAGTAACCTCTTTAAATTTATGACTCATCAGATGGTCTAACAGAAAGATCTTCCTCTTTTGTTGATACGGCTACATTACTACAACCAATATCATAATCAAAGAAGCCACAGTCCTTAAAGATGCTACCGACTTTATATATTTTATTGAAAAGACAAAGCTGAAAAAACTGAACATTTCTTGATTCGGTCCGAGAAATGTTTAGATTAATCCTGAAAGAAAATTCTTTCCAGTTTAATGGAAAGCACTATCAGTAAGAGACCACAGTACCGCGATGAGCACATGCAGCAGTTTCCTTTCCAACATTTTCATGGCCGCATATATTGAAACACAAAGTTTAAGCAAAACCGTCTTTAAACCAACTGTTTGAAAATGCTGCATAGATGATATTTTTTCCCTTTGGGACATAAGTAAATCAGACATGGTAGATTTCTTCAAATTCACGGAACAAGTAAACTTACTTCACCCTACTGCTCTACTGGCTATGAAATTTACGCCCGAAATATCTGACACTGAGACAATCGTTTTAGACCCCGTTGTATACCAAGGCACAACATTCAACGAAAAATGAGAAAAAGCTATCATTGACGTACAGACGTATATACATTTTCACCTCTTACCACCCACCGAATGTTAAAATGGATTTGACCAATGGATTTGGCCTTGAGTATCCTACGAACAAACTCCTCTGAGGAAGTATTTCAGATTTCAAAAAGCGGATGATGGACAGAGGCTGGCCACACAATTTTGAAATAAAAATTGCTATTAGAAGTAAAACTCACAGGAGAAAAGCAGCGCTCCTGAAACAAATCAACAAGGAAGAAAAAGAAATATTGCCTTTCGTGACACAATACAAGCCCTTAGTGTCTATTATAAAAGAAACTTTAACGTAAAAGTGTAATCTCATACAAAACCAACCACTACCTTGCCAACTTAACCCTCAGACGTACACGCAAAATCATACCCCCCACCATGGTACAAGAGGATGGTAGATGGAACCCCTCCCCAGAGTTTTTGATATGTTGCAGTATTTCGAAGCGATTTTGCCTTCACTGAAAAGCCTTTGATATTCTTAACAAGATGAGGTATATTTTATGAATGGTGGCACTGCTGGAGGCCTGTTACGTCACCAACGAAGGTCGCCATCTTTGCCGCCATCTTGGATATTGCAAAGAATTACAAAACAGGTTAGAACAAAGAGAAATGTTTATTGCTTGACATGAATAATAACACATAAATAAGCACTTTGCATGATTTTAGCTACAAGATTTTTCTTTTATTGTTGAAAAAAGTTGAAAAAAACATATATTTTCACTCAAAATGGCTTGACAACCTGCTACTTATTACGTCATACTTCGTAACCATAGAAACTGATCATCACTGAACTTTTCTCAAAATGCGTGCGAGGGATAAACGAACATCTACTGAAAACCTCAGGTGCTGATGTTTTATCCTCTTGGAAAAATCCCAGAAAACCTAAAGGGGGTGGCATCCACCCCCCACCCCCCCCACCCCTTGCATGTCCGAGGGTTAAAGTGTTATTTCTTTGAGGAAGGAAACTTATGGCAAAGGATAGATGTGATGCCCGTCACCCCTTGCAGTTTTCCACTAAGCTGATAATTTAAGTACCCAAAAAGCTAGTGTCCATTAATTAATTAATTACTTTTTACTGTGCCGTGTACTCGACAGGGAAACCAAGTTCGCATTTACAGTAAAAGGTTTGGTGATCTTATCAGTACGCATGATATTCATTTGGCAAACAATGGTGAAATAAACGACCACAGGAGCCGATCGGCTCCTGACGATCACCTTGCACAAACAAACAAGAGTTAATGAAGTTTAAGTGGCAATCAAATGATGCATTCTTGCAAGTTTTAGTCTCTCCCTTGGGATCAAAGTCTTGAAACTTGGTGAAATACATAAAAAATATTAATAATAAACAAGCGTTTTTACTTATTAACTGAGATTTTCGGACAACCGACAAAAATCAAGACGTTTAACCGACTACCGACAAAGATCGAAAATTTTAACCGACTACCGACAAAGTAACTGACTTTTAACCGACAACCGACAAATGGACCCCCCCATTCAGACCCTCAAATAATAATTTAAGTATAACATTTACTGTTTTGCTACACTAATCATACTGCTATGTAGAGGGTTCCTTGCCTATCTTAAATGTTTAAATTGTTATAGTTTTCCAGCCCAGTGCTGTTGGACTTGAACAGTATGTTTGCTCATTGAGACATTCTTATCATTGTTACGGTTAATTGTTTGGCTCTCTGTGAGCAGTGCAAATTTTCTTAGTATAATTTTATCACCTAATTACTGCTATGTCGAGATTCTATATCTTTATTGTTACAAAGGCTTTAATTATCCAGCCCAGTGCTGTTGGACTTGAGCGGTATGTTTGCTCATTGAGACATTCTTATAATTTATTGTTACTGTTATTGTTTAGCTCTCTGTCAGCAGCGTAATTTTCTAAGTAGAATGTTATCAACTGTATTGCTACACATATAACTGTTACCGTTTCAAGCATAGTGCTGTTTTCGACTCTTGGACTATGTGTGCTCCCTGAGCTCTTTTTTCAATCCTATATATGTAGCACCAGTTAATCCCAACATGTTGGTCTTTGCTCTCAGCTGCAATAGCCTATGACGACTGATCGGTTAGTTCAACAGACTTAGAACAAATTTCTCATTGTTCGTCTTTTAAAGTAAATAAACCATGGGAAGGGGATGAAGTGCTCGATGCAGGTCGCCCCTTTGCCCCATAGACTCACATGGTCATCTTTTGTGGTAGAATGGGCCCCCCAGACAGCTTTGTTACCATGTAACAAGGAGCTAACCTTTCTTGTTGTGGTTGTCCCCATGGGGCCTGGGAATTAGGATCCCAGAGAGAGGATTAGGACCTCTCTTTAGCCTGGTTGTTGTGTTGTTGTAGCGTGATAATGTTCTTATTGGGTGAGTCCTCTCGTTCCCAACCACCTGACCTGTGTCATCCTGTAAGATTCCAATTGGCAACTCGAGCAACTTCATCCCCTTCCCCCTTTTCTCCCACAGATCTTTTGTTGCTGTCTTGTTTAATATTTTCATGGGTTGGGAGCATTAACTATAATTATTATTCATTCACAATATTTCCCTGATTCTTACTGGCTAAAAGCACACGTTTAATTCACCATAACCAGTTTCTGATGACCAAATCTGGAAGAAATTTGACTTTAACGAGGAAATGACGTCAAAAATGCAGCGTTTTCGCAGGTTAAGGCACCGTTAACCGAGAAGACCTGGGGACGAGGTTGAGTTGTTTTGGTTGTGAACTTGAAAAAATGGCGGACATTTCACTCGTTTCAAGAGTAAGAACTAGGCGAAAAAATAGCTTAAAACATGGCAAGAACAGCAAGAAGACAACTCGAAGGGCGACATCTGCTATTTGGAGAATATTTGCGGCACTGGACAAAGCTAAACGTACACTGTCGAAGATGAACTGAACATCGATGGATCGATAGAGGTAAGCATGTTTTAGTTGTTTTTAAACTAGGAATCATTTTGAATGAATAATAAAACAGTTATTGAATTCGGCTTTCGTATCATATGAAGAATTATGGAGATCTCGGAGGGTGTTATCCGCCTCGGCCTACGGCCTCGACGGATAACACCCTCCTCGATCTCCATAATTCGTCATAAGATACTCCTCCTCATTCACTAACTGTTAATTAAAATTATGCCCCGTTGGTGTATAAGTATAGCTATAGGTATAGGCAGAAACTCATAAGGGGTTGAAACGTGTAACTCTCATATGTTTGCTTTGTCCGATGCTCGTGATTATTCATTTTCGAAAGTACCATATTTGGAACGAGAAGAAGAGATAACTGACCAATCAAACTTCGTAAACAACGTGACGTAGTTTTACTTCAGGTTCCCGCGCCCGCTTAAAAAAATGGCCGACAAACGGGGGAAAAACTCCCGAAAGGCGAGAAAGCTTTGAAAGGTTGAAACCAGGAATCTTACCGAAACACTGAGCAAGATATTGCCTTACCACCCGGGCCAAACGTAACACTATGAAACCCTTTGACGTCCTCGCAACTTCTTGAAGTTCAGTCACTTCAAATAACGATGCCTCGTTGACCCTCTGCACAGTAAACTTATAATGCAAATAGGCTTTTAAAATTCTTATATTAAAAGTCTATAATCAACAGTAAAAACTATTTTGGAATAAAATTTATTAGCTGCGTATCGAAGTGTCCAAAACCTGAACCTGACATCTTCGCAAAAAGTGATGCGTGTAATGAATGTGAGAAGCATTTAAGTTTAAATTCAGCTTGGATGTTGTAGTCACGATCGTGTTTTGAGCTAAGTTTGTGAATGAACAAACTCAAAACAATAGACAGAGAAGCCGTTTCTTGAAAACTTTTATTCAAAATCCAAAAAGTTAATCCTTTAAGGCAATTCGGAAAATACTATCTCGATCGTGGATCCGTTCACGCAAGTGAAATCGGCTGAGCACATGGCAAAATTCAACACAAAATCCATCTCAAATCGGGGCAAATTTTGTAATTTTTCTTTAGCGCCGAAGAGAAAAATTTATAAAACGTCTATGAGACATTTAAAAATACATAAATTCCCTTTCAAAAACGTAATTGTCTTGGCTATAGAGTGCAAAATGTACCTGAAAATTCAGCAAAAACTTCACTACCTTGGTTGCATTTCAAAACAGACCAGAGATCCGTCATGAAGAAAAGAAGGTTGAATTCCTCGAGGGAAGATTTCTTGATGAAAAGCTTCCCTTCTTCCACAAAAAGACAGCTGAGCATTCTTTTTAACTTTCTCTTTCCATTTTTTTGTCTTTTAACGGTGTATTTTTAAGCCTGAAATGCAGAACTCTTGTCTTAAAACATCTGCATGGTAATCGCGCGGCAGCCAATGTGTTGAAAATGGATATCTGTCACTAAGGTTTCCAAATATGGTAAACTTGAATATTCACGAGCATTGAACGCGAGTTACACGTTTCAACCCCTTATGAGTTTCTGGTATAGGCAAATCATTAATATTCAACTAGTCTTCCTGCATATCAATTTGTTAAGTCGAGTAGGTTAGGGTAAATCATTAACATTCACATACCCTTCTGCATACTAATGAGCGTCTCTTTTATTCAATAGGAACCATAGGCTTGCCCAGGCTTGCCCGGTCTCTTTTATTTCTGATTGGCTCATGTAGTATCTATTATGTGTTTGAAATAAAGGCGGGCAGTTTTTGAAAGCGCTATCTTTCTTGTTCTCTGCTAGCAGAGGTCTCTCACGACGAGGCAAAAATGAAATGCCTCGTCGTGAGAGACCTCTGCTAGCAGGGAACCTTACTTAAAACCACAAAATTTATACTGAGCTGATTTTAAAACAAATAGTAATAGCCTTGGAAAAAAATTCTTACCCATACGTCTGCATCACTGAAACCCCTCCACCACACCCCTTTGAAAAGCTAATAGCCCATCAGCCCATGAGGTTCAATGTCTTAAAAAGGCTGGTTGTCATACGAAACTCTTTGGCTGCATCCAGTTCACAGTTTTTGTTTATAAGTCAATCTCTCCGTCTAAAAGGGATTCTACCCGAATAGTAAATTAGACCGATTTTTTGTTTAGAATAAGCTTCCTTGGCTTTGCAAAATCAGAGCGACAAACCGTTGCGTGTAAAACTACCCTTTAAATTATGTACCACAATATCTTTTACTCAGTAACCTTTACTAAGTTATTCTTTAGGTGTCTTCGGGTGAAAAGACCCAGGAAGGTTCATAAGTAAACGTATTTAACATTACCCCCTAGGAATAACCATAATTTTGAAGTTTACACAAACTGCGCTTTGCGTGTTGTGTATTTATAAGGCTAAATGTGCGCTATACTCAAACTACAAATTATAAACGTGTCAACAATATATATAAACGTATTTCAAAAAGGCGAATTATTTTGGCAAAGTTACGAGTCTGTCGGTAGAATAATCGACAAATCTTTTATGTAATTTATTTTCGGCGAGAATGAAAAATGTGAGTTAATGTGTAAACACAGGCGCAAATCACAGGCCATGTTTCAACCATTTTCAGACATTTCACTCACGCGTCATTCTGACAAATTTTAAAACACAGTCCGCAAAAGGAAAAAAAGCCGCTGCAAAACACCTTACAAAATTATGACTGACAATTAAAACATGAATAAAACTTCTATGAAACATGTACAACAACAACACTTTATTCAAGACATCAAGCCAGAGTGAATGAAATGTTTCCGAAAACCTTTTTTCTCTCGAAGCAAGACTTTCGCAAATTATCCTTAATTTTTACTGGCAGTCGCTAGAACCGGGTATTCTATAAAAACTTTGTCTTTACTTTTGCTACCATAAAATTAATTGACGCTTCTGCACACGAAGCCATCGTCATCGTCTCGCATGACATGAAATAATTAAACCTACGGTCGCCTGACTTTACAGCAAAACTTGAACGGGGTGGGGGAGCTGTAAAGAGAGTAAGTGAGACTTTTCCTGTATTCTGCTGTTAAATGCCTGCATGTTTAATTTTCACTTTCGTTGAATTCAGTGGCGAAGCTTTCCAAAATACCCCAAAAACCAAATAAACAAACCAGCTCTCTCTTCGAATAACAGAAGAATCTTGATAGCAGATAAACAGTCCAAACGAGGGGCCACTCATTATCTAAACTTCCCGTGACATTCATATAAACTCGACATACGAACAGCTTAATACTATCCAAAAAATAAAGTTTGTCAAAAAAGTTTGAGTTGTGATTAACTGCAAAATTCTCTAAACGTGCGGCACAGAAAAGCAAACGCTTTTATTGATTGGTTACAAACACGCCATATTCTACTAGTTTTGTTTGAGTATGGTTAGAGAGAGGAGTGACAGTGCAATTTGTTTATTCAGTTATTCGTTGACAATCAGTGGGAACAAGGACTAAAGAGTTTTCAAGCCCACATAATGGGTTAACTTACACAAATGTTCGTAAGAAGTCCAGGAGGATGGTATGAATTTTAGCTACGATGTTCAAGTTTTGCTGGCGAAATCCGAGAAACTTGTTGGTAGGCGAAGATGGCTGTCATCTTATGATAAATCTATTTTGCGTTGAACTTTGGCAGTCGTTGATGTATTTTTCACAAGGAGGAACTCGCCGAAGTTGTTTTTATGAATAATACTTATCGTTTTAAAATAAAGGCTATTTATCTATCTATCTATCCATCTATCTATCTATCTATCTATCTATCTATCTATCTATCTATCTATCTATCTATTAACGAAACCCTTTAAATTCATAACTCATTTTCCTGAGATTCCCTTGATATTCCCTTGATCTTCGCAACTAGCCGTCGTTTGCTGTCTTTTTAAACTGTAGTCCATAATTTGATCCCAGTCCACTGCATCACACCTTTTTGATCCGACGCGCTCGTTTCATTGCCCAACCTTTATCCGCCCTGATCTTAAGTATTGTCCTCCGCTGCGCTTCGCGCATCTGCTTCTGTTCTCATTAAAAGAGTTGTCAAATACCAAATACCTTTAAAGGTGGCTTTCGGGATTATAACCTTGAATTCCTTTTTCTCAGCCTTTTTTAAAACTGATAGCAACTATAAAAAATAGTAAAAAGGGAAGCTTCAGTTATAAATATCGCAGCTGATAGCAGAATGTCAGGCAAATTTGTCTATATGCGTTGTTAACCACAATAGATCAAATTTTCAACGGTTTAAATTTCTTCTATCCTGCACGAATTACCATAAATTTATGTAACTACTAAATATCATAAAAATAGCGAAACTTGAAAGAAGTGGATTTTCCCTGCGAATCGCCCTCCCCCTTCTTTGCTCGTTCATCCTGTTCACTCGGCGTTTTGCGACTTTTTGTCGTATGTTACAAAACTTAAACAACTTCCCGCGTATGTCACAGGTCTGGCCAAAGAAATTCAAAGCGATGTCAACTCGCTGAAATCTTTCTCTGTCCTCTGTCAAATGAATCAATGGTGGCAAGTCGAAAACGCGAAAAGTACCCCGCTGGTAGTGTGTGAGAAATTTTATACCTTCAAAGTAACCTGTTGTTACTTTAAGCTATCCAAAGAGATGAGATTGAAAATATACCCTTACCTTGGGTAAAGGTTTCTTTCTTTCCAATTTTACAACACAACTGAAATGAAACACTTGTCACAGTCCTTTCAGTCAAAATCACGCCGGATTTGATGAAGAATACGATCCTGCGGAGTTCTTTCTCCTGTTAGCAAGTGAGAAAGGTGCATAAAGTAACGTTTTTGTTTTAGAAAGTAAAACTTTTCTTTTATAATTAGAGGTTAAAAAGACGGCAGGTGCTGTTTGTTACCTTGCTTTTTATAGACTGAAGACAGTTAATGTAGAAATTAGTAGAATTTGTCTTTTTGCGTTATTGAGGATATATTTTAAGCAATCAACCTTTTAATTTTACATAAATCACCAATCATTTCCGTTAAATATTCAATTTCCATTGTGCCATACACTTCCATTACCGAAACTTAATAATGCTAAGGCAACCTATAGGCTACATGAAAGACGCTGAAGATATATGGAGCAAAGAAGAAGAAGAACGGAAGAACCTCATTAATTTGCTACGTCACGTCTCTTAGGTGGCGACAACAGGGAACACATAAAAACATACCCCACCTCCGCCTTTTACGATCCTGTCACAGCGAATTATGTCATATCCGGAGATGTGGACTTCATCATCACCTGCATTTTTAATGAGTTTGGTCTCGTTAATTGACAAAACATCTGTATCATTATTTGCTAAAAGTACCCTAAGCTCGTCTATGTGAGTTGTCAACTTGTTGGTATTAAGAGAAGCTAATTTCAAACCACGCTTAGGTGGTAAAATTTGGGTAGGGTCTGCACCCTCATCATTTGATACACTAGAACTTCTAATTTTGGTTTTAACCCTCTCCATTCGCAAGGTATTCGAGGAAAGCACATTACTCCAACTTAGATTTTCTTGAAATTCTTAAAAAATAGCACGTTACCTATTAAGCTGGAGACCACCTTTGTTTAAACCACTGTGCGTGATGTTTGGATGGCGAGTTAGGTTCCACGCGTTTGTTACCCTCCATACAATTCAATTAGTGAAAGGTACGCCTTTTCAAGAGGAGCCTCCTCGTATAGGCCATTATAGGGAGTATCCCCGGGGAGGGGGTGGAGGGCTGTAAGCCCTACTTTTTGTAGTGATGTTGAAAAAGTGTCTCTTAAAAAATAGCAATGCCAGTGACCTTTGAATAATTACATCGATTCAGTTCTAAGCCGTTCGAAAACAGTGTGAGGAACATGTTGATGTAATATCAGCTGCACCAGTCTACAGGGACGAACCATCGCTAAAAGGGAAAGACGAACAACTGTCGAAGAAAACTACATTTCAATAAAAACTTTGTTCTTCAACCTGAGCCTCGACGAAAAATGGCTAACTGTTTTAAATCGAATAGGATTGCCCCTACGATAAAGAGCGTAGTTGCCCGCGTCATTTAAATGAAAGCAATCCCTGCCTAAAACAGGAACAGATTAAGTTTGGAGACTTCTATGACTCCACGATTCGGCATAAGGGAGTGGTTCTAGAACCACTTCTAGATATTTATGGTTGAAATCGAGGACGTGTGGAGGTATTAATAGAGCACCAGTAGATTACTAGGCATGCGATTATAAATGCGGCAGTACGGTATCGCCAAACCACCACTAAAAACCGCCACCCACTAAGACAAGAAAGAGAAACACACTAGGAATTAATTCGCAGGCAGGCGGAAGGGGAGGTGGTGGAAAATGCTGAAAATTGGTTCAAACCAGCGATGTGAACAACGTGATGGTGAGCGATCGAAAGGGGGCGAGCACATGGAAAAGCGCCCCTAAGAATGATATAGTCCGGAACGCCCTAAATTCTGATTGGCTGGAAATAAGATAGGCTTGGAACCTGCCACCTTGGCCTGCAAACCACTATTAAATGCCTTGCCATAAAATCCCATTATGATGTCGTCATAACGGTGTCTTTTATGAATAAAGACTTCATTATTATTATTATTATTATTATTGTTAAAGTGTTTTGTTGTTTCAATAACGTTTGTTATTACTATTATCATTTTTTTTTTAAATAATTAAAACCTCTCTGACATTAAAGAACTAATGCTTGGGAAGTTTCCCGTGGCTAGTACGATTAAGCCACCTGCAGGCTAATTATGGTTTAGGCTACTTTAATAAGGACTTTCTCTAATTCAAAGAACCATTTGCCGACGAATAAGTACATACAACGTTTCTGTGTTTTCCTGTTTTTATGCATATGTTGTAGTTATCTTTTTATCTCAGGTAATTTTTGTTTTTCTTTTGTTGTGGGGTATGGTAATGTATGCTGATCAAGTAGAAACAAAAGAAAAAGAAAAATTACCTGAGATAAAAAGTTAACTACAACATGTATTAAAATAGTTAAGAAAATATAGGGTGGTTTTCATAGGATGAGAAAATATTGTTTGAAACAAAATGTCTGAACAATGAATATCTGTCTGACATCATAATTTAATGTTTGGCACTTTGT